ACCTTCCTTCGCCCCCAAGATGAGAAGAAGAAAAACCCTTTTCCCTATCGATAGAGAAGTGATCCTTAGATTCAGCCCTCCTTCAGCTTCCTCTAAGAGCGCTTTGCCCCGCGTCTACTGCAAAGGTTGATTTGTGGGGGAGAAGAAAGACGCCATCATGAAAAGATGAAACAGCGATCTCCTTCTCTCTACTTTCGATGAACAGGATAAGATCAGATAGTCTCCCCGCCTCCCGCGAGACATTTGATTAGATCCGACTTCGTCAGTTTATTACGCTGACAAGTCATTATTCAGAGATTTTTAGAGTTGCGGCTTACTCAGTGGTACTGATACACTCTGCAAGCAAGTTTTGTACCACCAACATCCCACCAAAAGAAAGTTTGTAGCCGCAGTCTGGAACTGGCAATTGAAACACTGTCTTTCATGTGAACACGCCTGAGAAAAGTCAAATATATGGTTGAGACGGAGCCCTTATTCCTTAGACGCCGGCGTTTGAGATGATCTAAAGTTTATCATGTACTATCACACGAACGATTAGGCCGCGTATTGGGCTATCGTTTCCATCGGGTTGAACCTTGATTCCACACACGTCCTCTTGACCACTAAGAGTCTAAATCCCTCCAAACATGGCAAAACATCATCATTTGAAGATTCTGTATGTGTAAAATCTGACCTCATATGACCAGGAGCTCCTTCACGCCCACTCTTCTACGTCTAATCGATAAGGTGATAACCATAACGATAGGATGAAGTCCCGTCCACCTAGCGCCGAGAAGAACTAAGATGGTTGCATAAAATGGCATGCACATACTTTTCCAATAATGCACAGCGTTTCGCCCAATTCCCACAGCCTGTCGATGATGATTCTTAATATCACAATAAAGCGACACACGAGGTGCGAGGCTTCAATGTGGAATGCTGAGGCATACTTGGTGGGATGCCTACCCTATCACATCCAATATGGTAACATCCAGCTGGTGTGGTATGGACGCTGATGCTTCTAGTTCATTACACGAACCAAACATTTAGGTCTTGTGCTGGCTGCTTCTTTTGGTTCCTGAATGACATTTCCCAACGAGAGCGAATAACGATGGGCAGAAGGTGCATAGGATTTCATTAGTGGTGGTTGCGCGACAATCATCATCACATCACCACTTCCTACTGGCATATTGCATGTTGCATAAAAGTGGCACTCTGCAGTGATATTCTAATGCAAGTTTGTGTGTAGCCGATCTAAACATAGAGAGAGCCTTTCTCATATCATTGGACGCTTCCGGGGGAGCGGAGAGAGAATGATTTTCTTGTTTGGTTTGGATTCCCTTGCTGCTTTTTGTCAAATATAATCAACCGTCAGGCATAGCAAGGGTAAAGAGGCTGGTGCAACAAAGTATAACTTGAATGTGGTGGAGTCGACTGATTTGACCGAGGCCTGCATAATGGGGTAGCATTTCATTATTACTTTGTATCGAATCCAATCCGTAATGAATTGGCTGACATGGATTTTGATACCATAGAGAGCCATACCATCATACCATCATACCATCATACCATCCCATCCGTACCTGACCATACCATACCCTTCCTGACCATACCATACCCTCCCTCCCTAGGTTGAATCCGTAGAATCGAATCCATAGAATCATTTCTCTACATCGTAAAGCTAGACTAAACCTTCTTCGGTGAACTTCCAGAAGAAGTTGCGATATGAACCTTACTAGGGAGCCCTGTCCTAGTCCTCGACCCGGCAAGTTCACGGTCATGGTCGCGGTGAAAGGAAAGTTAGGAAATGGAAAGGGAAAGGGAAAGGGAAGGGGAAAAAAGAAGGTAGGGATTCTGAGTGGATGATCCATTCTGACGGCTTTCCGTTGCAATCCAATCCGTTTTCTTATCGGTCGGTCAGAATGGTACCTTCTCTATGGACTCCGTATATATCCATCACTTTACCCATTAAAATTATGATTCACCAATCGGGCAATGAATGGCTTCGTTACGTGCGGTCCACCCACCCCATTTCCAAATTTGCTGATTGCTACTGCAGGAACCGATGCAGGAACAAAGCAGGAACAGAGAGAATGCTTGACAATATGATGAAAGATGAAAGATGAAAGCAAAGCAGGTTGCAGAGACCTTGACCTCGACCTCAGCAAATGTTGCATATGCATGTATGAATACATACTTACTGTACTTATTACTTACTTGCTTGCTGATTGATTGACTTTACTTACTTATTCTTGCATCCAAAAAGCAGGAACAACATAAACCTGTCAATCTTGAACAATCATAAGTCCAAGTCCAAGTCCCAGTCCAATTCCCAGTCCCAGTCCAATTCCCAGTCCCAGTCCAGTCCCAGTCTGCCAGTCCCAGTCTGCCAGTCCCAGTCTGCCAGTCCAGTCCCAGTCCCAGTCCTCAGTCCCAGTCCTCAGTCCAATTCCGAATCCGAGTCCTTACTTCATAGGAATCTAAGTTTTGTCCCGATTTTTCTGTCCATCCCATTTATGATTTCTATTTACCGGTGTCATCTGAAAGTTCCTTCGGTTGTTCCCGTGGGTAATGCCAATGATATGGAGCGTACTACTATATCACGCCAGTCGGGCTAGTCAGCGGGGATTCATTCCTAGAGCCCCAAACCCTAGCTTGGCCGCTCGCTGGCGAGGCTATCGGGCTGGCCATATTTTGGGTTCAATTCAAATGATTTTCAATCTCGAATCTACAGTGACCCACTCACGGCTCGCGGGTTTGGTATTCCTAATGCCCTCGTCCATTCAATCTTGACCTTGACAAGCTTCACTATTGGAAGAAGGTAGGTCAAAGATCACAATACCATCGATTTATGTGGAGTGTCCTTCCTTGCCATTCGAGTCAGGTTACATATCAACCGATGGCTCCACGCAAAGAAAGACGGTTGTCAGATGTCCCAGCGGGATGGGACCTGGAAATGAATAACACTACGTCTCTACTTTACCAGAGATTGTGCTTGCTGGCGCGACTTTTTGTCATCAAATGGAATTGTAGGAACCAGGCAAAATCGGTCAAGAGACTAACTTATCTACAAACTACCGCTATAGCACGAGATTCTACAAAGCCGCGGAACCCTCTTCCTCACTAAAATTCTGCTTGATTTTAGTCTTGGTGATCTAGGTACCCAAAAGTGATGGAAGGTACAGTACCCTATGAGTCTATGACATCTTCTTGTAGATCTATGCAGGTCTGAAAATATTACTATTCTGGGTCGGAATAACGCGTGACGAAGTGAATCGAAATGCGAAATGTACGCATATCTACCTAAGCCTGATCTCATAGCACGACTCAATATTGAAAGTTAGATTTGACAATCCAGTTACCCTTCAGGTGTATGCGTCTAGCGTATTGTATTATAGTTTACGATATACTTTCTCGATCACGAATGAATCGAAGCTTTGCAAACTCTTGTTTACGGGCTAGAGTTGCATTCCGAGGGCACCGTGGTCCTCGAGATCTTTCATCGTTCAAAGAATCCTCGGGTACACCGATACGGCACTATTATTCTGATCATGGCAGGAAAGAATGGCCGAGGAAGGACTGGAACTGGCTCGAAAACCCCGGATTTTTCGTCTCTACCCTCGAGGGTTGTAAATTATGCATCGAGGCTCACCGTTAAACCCGAACTTTTGACTGCAGGCGAGTGGCGCTGCTCGGATAGAAGGAAGAACGGGTTTCAAACAAGTTGGAGAAAGTCAATTTGCTGACACAAACTCTTCCATGACAATAGCAAAATAGCATCTCCCAATGTGTTTGCCACTGATATGTCTTACTGTATTCTATTCTACAGCCTGAGCGGCGGCAAAAAGCTTAAACTATCGATAACAACTCTCTTAGTCTATGGCCTATTCTAATAGTGAGACCAAAAGAAGGGTCCAATACAAGAGGACCCTTCGTGAAGGGATATACGCAGTACATGTCTCATTAGTATGATCTACTGGCATATAACAAACTTTCGTTCAACCAGGTGGGTTTACAAATATCAAGAACGAAGCTATTCAAGAACAATTGCTCGAGGATCACTCCGCAACAGTTCGAGACGTCGATCTGAGGCCGAAATGAGCGTGTACTACATTAAGATGCCAGTGTCGGCAGTTCCTACCAATTGGTCACTTGGGCCCGTAGGCGATGCCGTAAGCCCTTGGAAAGAAGGTTTTGGAAAATCGATTGTGAGGGGTGCAGACGTTCTAGTGATACTTTGAGCGATGATAGCGAGATAAGTTTCATCCCAATACTTCACAAACCATGTCCATTTGTGTCGAAGTTCTGGTACACTACTGACCTTCCGGTATTTAAAATAAATGGGGGCCCCGTCCGCTGCCAAATCAGATACCCTTACCCTCAATTGAGGGTTCCATATCATACCCTGCACCTGCTTCCAGGAAGATGATTGATCTCCCTCTTGTCTCTGAAGCAGAACAAAACGTCGGATGTTCGTAAGAGAGATAACCATCCAGTGGCATAGCATCCACCTAATGCCACCCATCCACCTACAACAAACCTTCAGGAAGCTCAGATATACACAATTAATAAAAATGCTCGTTCCACTTTTGTATGCAGCCACGGACATTCATCCCGAAAATGTAGCATGTTCTCCGAGGAATAACATCCTCTTGTCTCTTGAGGGATTAGATATCCGCCAACCTTGTTGACGGGCCTTCGAGAACGTTTCATGAAGCCACAGAACAATTTCAATTACGGCATCCATGACCTTGTCCTTTCCCAATCTCCATCATCATTTCCAATCTTCCATATCCAGTTTTTATTTTCTATATTATTGCAAGAGCTGTCAAAGCATCGCATGAACCGGACGATTCGCGGTTGATGCCGCAGAGAAAGCAGGTGGGGAAATAGTAATACCACATCCGCTGTTATGATTTGCTGCGGAAGTTTATGCCGTCTTGAAGATCAAACTCTGGTACACCAAGGTTGAGGCATATGCATGAAGAAGCTATCCCCCGTTTGACGGATGGAAAAGTTTATGCGGTCTACGATAGATTTGCTAGCAATGTATTATGGATAGTAATTATGCACTCTATATTATATACAATACTTGTCATTCTCCACAAGCGTGGGTGTTGATATGAAAGTAGGTGAGCCTTTTTTGTACACGTGTCTCGCTTTCTTCGTCTTCGAATCGAAACCAAAGATTGAAAGGTGCCAATACCTTTTATTTCGCCCTTCCAATAATCTTCAGGCTCGTTTGCGACGTACGCTATGATGTTTATTTCCATTTCCGGATGTACCGTTAGATTGCCATGGGCCGTCAAAATCACGAGACTTCTTGAAGTATGTAAGAGATTGTGGGTGGAAGTCTGGCCCGGCATACAATCCTTGAAAGCGCTATGAACGGTGAAGAGAGATGAACATGCCCATGGCGAGATTGGTTCTGGCGGTATCCGAAGAAAGCGGTATGTATGTACGTTCATCGGTTGCATGTGTGGTCGTATGCATGGGCAAAGTCGAATGCTTGTAAAATGGCTTTGCTGTACACGAGAGCTGCAAGTACCACCATCATGTGGAAGAGTTGATGAGAAGCTCCAAAAAGATCAAACGTTTTGCTGAACCAACGTTCGGGAAACTGTTTCGGTCAGAACTTATTTTGCAGGGAACAGTAATCTCTTCAAAGACTTTCATTCACTTTCTTACCTTGATGGCATATGCTGTTGCACCAAGTACATTCAACATCAGCGTGATCAAAACCCAGGTGATTCCCATCCGTTGATTTTGTACTTGCCAGCCGTATACAGTCGCACCATGGACGACAGGCACCATTGTGACCACAGCTAAGCTGCCAAAGGTGGCGGCTCGTACAGGTCGAAGAAATGGATCTCGAAAATGAGGTTGAAAGGTAGATACTGAGCAAGCGACTGCTAGCAGTGATAACTTCCTCTAGTTAGCTTTCTCCACAGCAACAGAAAGGAAGGTTAATCACCAGAGCCCAATAAGAGTATCTATGGATTGCGGTATCGCAATAGAAACCATAGTATACAAGAGGAATAGTTGCTCCCCACATCAGAAGAATAACTCCCTGGAAATCCAGCTGAGCTCCAAATGTGTCCATTTGTTGGCTATGGTTCATTACGGTATGGTACCTGCGGATGACATCAGTTACAAAGCCTCCTCGTGCTTAGAGGACAGAGATTATCAACTAACAACGCCGACAAGCAAAAGCATATCGCCACCCCTAAGAAGTACATCCCACAAACCACGATATCTTCCTTGGTAGCCACGGCATATCTAGGTGGTATCTCAGCCTTGTACAGGTAGACCGGTAGAGCCACGAACAACGCTGCCCCAATTAAATGAGACCAAATATTAACTACATACTTTGTTTAGCTTCAGTATCTCGAACATTATACATCATCCATGCGCGGTGAGGGTGTTGTAACATTGGAGTCAGTCTATTCTTACTAGTCTCATTGTGGAGATATCCCCAACTTGCAAAACATTCTCGAAGAGAGTTAGATGCCGCTCTATCATCAAAAAAAGTCGAATATTAGAAATAGTTCTTTACAAGTTCCTCTAGCTTGAAGCACCCACGTGGCACCCTTCCCCCACGCCTTACTCAGAGAGCTAAATAAGTTGAGATGAATGCAACGTCAAGGCAATGCAAGGTAAGCAAAAAGAAAGGAAATATAGATTGCATACCGATACCCCGTCTCGATGAAATGATTATCCTCCCTTCACACAAATAATTAGCATCTCATCTCAGTCAGCTGATTTCCCCCCCTCCACCCATTCCCCTTCAATCAAAAGTCGAGTGATTATATAACCCCTCCAAGACTGAAAGGACCCCTCCATGTCATCAATTACACAAGCGCAACGTCGCACTCATACTTAAAAACCACACTTATCAAACGAGAGAAAACAGCGTCGAATCCTTCGAGGAATTCGTGTAGGAAACCATAGTACGAGTGTAGTAACAAACATACGCCAGATCCTTCGATGGCATAGAGAATGCACAGCTGACATTACATACATTACACGCTACATGTAAAGACGTTGCAATGTCGTATTGCGAGCGAGTATTTTCGGAATCCTCTTTGCAACTTCACGAAGAGCCAACCACAAAGTAGGATTGGTGAGAAAAGACCGAGGTGACACTTACTGTTGCCATATCTCTATCAAGACGTCGTAAGACCGACGCCACAACATCAGCCTGTGCCTCTTTCTCGAAGAAATCTTCACGGCGTAGTTTGGTGGGGGGAGGGTGTAGGAAGTGTTGCTTGTTCCTGCAGAACTCACCTAATTCGGTCCATGGTTTTAATATCGGAGTATTACGAGTGGAAAACGGATTGGAAATTCCCAACAAGGATGATTTCTCATCATGAAGCGGTTTTCTCGAAAAGGCTCCTTCCTTTCCTGGAGAAGGACTTTTTCGTCGATGTACCATGGGGTAGGATTGCGAATAATAAGCTGATATTTCTGGAATATTGCCCTATCTGTGGGTGCGGTGACCGTGGGGGCTGAAACTTCAGATTTCTTTCTTTTTCCTGGTGGCTATTTTTGACAAGTTTGAATATGCAAAAGACAAGACAAGACAAGAAAACAATTTGAAAATAATTAAAAGTCTTGAAATGTCAACTTGAAAATTTCATCGCCGGACAATATCTTGCCTCCCTGGCGTACCATTATATGTAACTATGTGCCATTCATTGCATTGCACCCACATAACACTATGGGAGTTTGACGTTTTGCGCACACGAACCGAGCGGCGTAATGCGATCAACTGCAAATTTTTCCATTATCACGACCGCACATATATGCCGGCCTCGATTCCATTACTCAATGGAGCGATTTCCCCATCAGATCCGTATATCTCTATGTGAAAATGGCTCAGAAAGGAAACTCCCGTGCCGTTTCCGCGCTTTGATAACCATGTATATCGCGATTCACACGCCATGCTCGTCTGCCATTGGTTGTTTCGCATGTGTCTGAACGGGGTAAAGCAAAGAAAAGAAAGGAACTGGTAGGAGTACGTACTACAGACTCTGCTAGGTATCTAAAATCTGACCCACGTCGAAGAAGACTGTGCCTTACATAACTGTCGATGTATGATTGAGAGGTACATTGCAGAGTTACATTCCTCGGGTGTTTTCTTGGCTGATGACATGTGAGATTTATTGCTTGTTCGCTGATTGACTGATGATTATGCGAGGGGTTACGATATATGCAGATAGGTAAGGAAGTTTGGGTGGTATTGCAGGTAAAAGATGTTTCATCGATGCCCGTTTTTGTTTCTAATCTATGTTTGAGCAGACAATGGATTGACAATGTCAAGGTAGTGGTCCAATTGGTAGAATCTTTTTTTTTGGAATGATGTTGGTGCTTGCGAGTCCATACTAGTCAATTATTTAGCAGCTCGTTCTGTGTGGTACAATACAGGCAGCTAGTAGGGTATACTGTAATTGCATGGACGGCTGGAAGTCGTAAGTGCATTAAATACTGTACTGCATGTAACATATATGTGAAACCCTTTTGGATAAAGTCGAGATGATTCCGGAAAGAGTATGGAGTGAATCAATTCCTTACATCAATCGGATCTTTTTGATTCTAGGCTCACGCAACCTGTTGGACGTCCATAGAAGGTAGGTAGTAGCATATCTTTTCTTGGTGAAACCCTCTAGATCGCTGTCTTCCTCTAATGACAGAGACCATTGATAGTATACAGCTATGTCTTCTTAATGAATCTTTGGCTGAAAAGCTCTGTTGTTATGATTAGATAGTTATGCTACCTTGAGATCAAATTCAAAAGATGGCCATGGTTTCGAATTTTCATAAACAGCAAAATCTGTAGTATCTTTCTTTACATGGGGAAGTAATAGATATATCCAATTCAGAAAAGAGTTGAGGAAATTGAGAGGATTCAAGATTAATTTCCCAAGGGGCGTGAGGTTAGAATCAAAGACGAGCTCACATGCTGCGTATGAGACGTGTGAGTTGTTTGAAATAGAGCAAGTTTATAATGATGCTACTAGTGAACTGGATTGGGAAAGACTTCACTCCACCATTTATCAACCCAGTGTCGCTTCCCCTTTTGTCGGATGGTGACAATCATTCGGCTACTCGTTCCCCGGCCGAGCCTTCAATCCTCCTCCCTCAACACATTCATTATTATGGCATTTAATCTTCAATAGATTATTTGATGTATATATTCAGTCTTTAGATCGCCAATTTGGAGCTATTAAAATCCAAAGTACAAGCTCAACCTTATACCATGAGCCGTGGCGGCCGACAAGTGGATGCATAGACTGATGAGACGCTCCGACGAATTTGACAGATCTTGACTTCAATTCATGCCCTTTGAGAACATATAAACTCATTTATTCACCTGTAGTTAACCATTGTATACAAATCCTTGAATAGCACAAAGAAAATGACCGAGAAGCATCGTTGGATTCATGGATTGGTTGTTTTGTTTTGCTCGTGAGTCCAGGTATCCACTGTCATTCCCTTGAATTCTTTTGAACCAAATCAAATTCGCCCTCCTGCAGTGAGTCAATTTGATACATGTCGCTATAAAAGTGTATTCTGACTTCTAACCTTAAGTTTGCTCATTCGATATTGAGATCAATAAGGTAAGCATTCTCCTTCTGCTGCAGCCATCATTTATTTCCCCTACTGACCAACCCTTTTTCATTCACTGTCTAAGAAACCAGGGGCCGTTGATTGGATTTGATCAATCACATCAACACTTCCAGATCTCGTTCTTCGATTTCAGGTCATCAATATATTTCATCCTCTCCAATTGCTCGCTCTTTCTTTCCGATCCTATCCTTCTCTCGAAAAGAAAATGCGCGAGTTTCAAGAAACTGCACATCAGCCAGCATGGTATCTCCTCTTAGAACTTGTGAATATCGGCGGCATCATTGCACTTAAAATTAAAATCTGGATCATGCTTAACTTCGATCTTGTTTTCGTACTCGAAATGCCATCAAACGAAGAGAGCATTCATCTCAAAATACACCAATATACTTCGAAGTTTAGTAGTGCTCTCTCCTTTCCCAGATCTATTCGCTAGGTACGCAGACCTTCAAGATCTGAAACGAGCCATAAATATATTCATGAACAATGATGACCAGATCGGAGTATCTCGTCTCAGTCAAAATTTTCAAGACTCCATCAATATAAACTTGGCCCGGAGAAAGAGATGGGAGTACTTTACTTTTTCCCGTAAAAGATCAAATCATTACATATCGTCCGTGTAAAACCAGAATAGATGAACAGACAACCGAATAAAGAGTTGCTGAAAGCACGGAAGTACCGGAAATCAAAGATGGTGATTAAAACGGCTAATAAAGAGTAAAGTACAGCAGCGAGTCGTTTGCTTGATATACAGACAGACAGGTCTTTTGAAGGGGGCAGTAAAACCCCGGTGAGGTCTCGTCATTTTGGAGAATGGGTCTTCATCCTTCAAGGAAGGAGACAAAGTAGAGAGTTCTAACGAGTGTGATGGCTTTGAATTTACAACATAAATGGACAAGCCGAGTTGAAAGGAGAAGGAGAGAAAGGATCGATCGCATGTAGATGCTACTCAGATAGATGTAGTCATGAATAGCTGGAGATTATTCACGAAGCAAGACGAGGAGCTTGCTGCGTCGGCTTTGTAGAAGCGAGAATACTACATCATGCTGAATTCGTATAGATCAAGCAGCATGTATCTGATATTGAACATGAACTGAAACTTGATCACAATTTTTTAACCGCCCCCTACCTTTCCTTCATGCAACAGACCAGATAATATGTACAGACAAACATTGCTCGTATCCTATTACCATAAAGCAAGCACTTCCACATTGGAGTAAGTATTCGCCTGTTTTCGTCACATGCTGTGGAGATGGCAGTGACAACTACCTAGTAGGTATCGCAAGATAGCTACGGTTTCGCACGTTCTCCTTCATCTCATGATTGAAAAATAGTGCAATGAAAGCAGTGTTTTAAAATAGGCATAATTGATGAATATTCAATGAACCAACTCCTTTCGTCCGGGTATCACAGCCGTTTAACTCCATAGAACCAACCACAGAACAATACATTTTCCACTGGGGTTTACAGTTCCCCATTTCTTAACATCTCTAATCTGCTGGTGACAGAGTCCACAGATGGAGCGGCTTTCGGAAGCACAAGCATATCACTAAGAGGTGCACTACCCCTTCCGAACAGTATTGAGCCACTAGAAAGTGAATTGACGAATTCCCGGCCCCTCACCACATCTGTCGAATGACATGATTGCCCATCGACTACATCGACATGGTCCTTCAGGTATGTTATGTTTTCGCTGGAATCACAGTCGGAGCCGCGGTATAGACTGATCCAATCAAAATCTCCCCAGGTAACTTCAAGATCTGTGACTGAGTCGCTCCAATTCCAGCAATTTGCTATGCCAGTGTTACTGGATATCTCGGACTTGGCGGGGAAGTTGTCATCGGATATCACACTTTGGGATGTTAGTCGGTTAGGTGATGAGAGGGGGGATATCTATGTTTTACCAGCCAAGGTTGACACCGCTGACGCCAATATATGCGACGACATTTTCGATCTTCTCGACATTTTCAACAAATATTCTCATCTGATCCGCAGCGGGTATAACAATGGCTTCAATGGCGGTCATAAAGAGACAAAGAAATGAAACGACCGTGGGAGTGTGCATTATGGCAGGTGATAGTGGTAGAATGGGAGTTGACGGAATGGGCTCGTTGCCGCGATACAGTCGATGGCTAACTTATCAGGTGGAGAGTCAAAGTTGAAGTTGGGAGTAGAACGAGGAGGTATGAGAATTGAAGAAATGTCTGAGTCTTACTTGGCTATGTATATAAGGGACAAAATACTTGTAATTTGTTGTTGAACTCTCATGTATAGACGAGGCTTAGAGTTTTATATACCATGACATTCATCTGTCTAAGGAACCGTATTTACGCAAAAAACGAAGGAATTTATAATGTAGTCTAATCCACAATGAAGGCTATGCCCAGTCTTGCCCAGACATTCCTCACGTCAAATCGCTGTGAACTGACTTCCTATCCAAATCCTACAGAAATGGGGTGGGCTAGAAATGCCGTGAAAAGCGTAGGGAGTTCTCGGTACTCGACACCTAAAGTACATTCACGATAATCCAACTTGATCGATGCATAAAGAGCCGATAGAGCGCTACTCCTGCAAGCTTCTGTAGCAAAAGGAACGGCATAAACAGGCCAATACAGGTGGGGTGTGGAATACTCTACACGAGCGTTTGTACTTCGTACAAGTTAAATTAACCTGTGGGTATTCGGTGGGGCCGGCGCTTGCAAGACTTCACACGCAATACGACAAAGCAATTTCACACGATAATGTATGATCGGTACCGTGCTATTGAAGTGCTGAAAATGAAAATAGTGAGCAACATAGAACTCGGCTGCAAGGGTATCTTTAGACGTTTCCAAAAATACCGCAATACGAACAGTAGCATGGAGCGATCAATTAGACCACCATACTGGTACACTCCGCACTCCCGGTGAACCCACACACCGAGCGAAGTACGAGTTAAATCCAACATCAAAACATAGGGATTCACCTGCTAACTTATAAATCATAGACATCCTCGAGACATCTTGATTACTTATTAGAGCTGTTTGGCCGTACAATCGTCGGAGCATCGGAAGCTACACAACCTGAGGCACCGAAAGTCCCGAAAGATCAGCAATTCTACTGGTGAATTTGTATTTCTATGTGTCATCGCGTCTCCTTTCGAAACTTAACAACCAGCAACAGCAAGCACCAACACACTCTTCTCGCACAAATTCGGCATCTTGAATCATCATGTGCAATGGCGACGCGGAGTGTTCACGCTTCCTATAGGTTCCCTCGTGCGTTGTTCCGACTGACATAATATCGTGGATATATTGTTAATATTTGTCAATCCTCTTCCTGGCTTCTACCCCGGATTCCGGTTCTCCAATGCTCCTTTGATCCTACCTTATTCAATGCGTTTCGTTCACTTGTGAATAGTCTTGTGCATTGATTCCGTCTGTGTAACTTCTATTCACCGGAGATGTTGAGATTTGGAAGATTTCCCTTATGTCATAGTTGGGAGTGAATTGTTGCTTTGTTTGATTTTTTTAGTATGACTCTTGCGTTTGATTTATGCTTAATTCCCTTCTTACTATATACATGGTTTGTATTCCTTTGTATGTAAAACATATATTCAAATCCCTGAGGTCTCTTCAGAGTTTCTTTTCTGTTTAGCCGCCAAAGTTCTTGGCCCAAAGTTAGGACCAATGTCCAACTTAGATTTCGATATAGATTATTATCTGAATCGTATTATTCCTTCCCCTAGACTTTACATACTCCCGACGCCAATCTCCTGGTTCCTTGGGTATCGAAGTAAGCCGAGGTCTCGAACTGGTAGTCTAGTTGTTTGGTTTTGGGCTTTCATTGGCGCTTTCTGCGGCATTGCGATTGTCGAAAATATATATCGACTTCCATATTTCAAAGAACGTGGCACCCCATTGGTCATCGCAAGTCTTGTATACTGCCAGAAGCTACCATGGAGTTTTGTTATATCTAACGGTCATGATAGGGCGCTGCCGCAATTTTAGAATATAATACAATTGATTCTCCTCTCGCCCAGCCACGAAATGCAATACTGGGTCAACTACTCGCCTCCATCATCGGCGTCGGCATAACAAAACTGTTCGAACATAGTGCAGAATTTGAGAATCTACGATGGTTGGCTGGTGCTCTTTCAGTCGGTGTAGCTTCTGCTGTGATGGGCTTGACCAACACGATTCATCCACCGGCTGGAGCCACTGCTTTGTTAGCTGCTACGTCACCTGAGATCACGCAGATAGGATGGTATCTAATACCTTTGGTTCTGTTAGGGAGCGTGCTTCTGGTTGCTATCGCTTGTGTCGTGAATAACATACAGAGGACTTTCCCCATATACTGGTGGACGCCGCATTTGCTGAGCAGTCGGTCTGAAGAAGACATCGAGAAGATTTCAGAAAGTGCTAGTGGAGTGGAGCAGCCAGCCGAAATTCAACACATTTCCGAAGAAGGAACAATCAAGATTGACAAGCATCACATTATTATACCTAGCTGGTTACCATTGGAGTACGAAGAGAGAGCGATGTTGGAAGCGATGCAGACCAGGCTACAGCAGGGGTTACAAAGCTCAAGGACATCAGGAAGTGATCGGACCTTAGTTAGATGAGGCTGTGGGTATAAAAACTGTGTAATTTTGGACATATAAGTTATGTGATAAAATGTGAAGTTTGAATTGGTTTGAACCAAGCCCTTGAAATACTAGAGATAGCTATCTTCTTTTCCATATGTATAGATTTATATTATAAGCCACTTGATGCCATCTGCATATTTCGACATTTTGCTCATGTGGCCAAGTCTTCTCCCACCATTTGCCTCAGGAATTTCCGATATGCAACAAAAATTTGTACCATCCCCACATGATAGACCGCATGTATGCTGCAGCCCTCAGCCCTCAGGCTTCAAGGCATCTCGACTTGCAGCTCCACCCGGATCTCCGAAGTCTTCATCAAACCGATCAAATCGTTATCATTGAATGGCTGGGATATACGCCACTAGCGCCTTACTCGCTCCCTCCATGCAATATTGCACAAGCTCAACCTTCTTTCCATCGGGCAACAATGCAGAGATTTGTCTAAGGTCGCTGGTTCGTGGAAGATACAATGCTGTATCCATTGCCTTACATGCCTCGTGAATATACTGCACAGAATATGGTTGCATAGTACTCAGATCGAAAATATTTTCAGAGGTATAGCCAGGACCTCCCCACGGTGGGGATGCGAAAATGACAGTTTCTGAAGGATTAATAGAAGAGGCGTGGGTCTTGAGGTACTCGAAACAGTCTCCATTAACCCAAGTTATGTTTGTAGCACCATAGACGTAGGCATTGTTTTCAGCGCAGGCGATAACCGAGGGATCCTTCTCAATGGCTATGACATGGGCCCAACGGTTGGAGAGAGCGAATGCGATGGAGTTGCCGCCAGCGCCAGCGAACAGATCAATTATAGTTGTCTTTGTGGGCGATGTAGAAGAGGCATAGTCCTGAGCGATTTGACTGCGTACAGTCAGTGATGTATACGAACAGGTGCGCGTGTAATAAGGGAGACGCACGTAGCTACTGGTTCAGGGGTAACGCCGAACCAAGCATCGTCTGTCATATAGATACCATTGTCGTAGAGTGAGAACACGCTATAACGCTGCTGCCAGTATCTAAAATGTCAGTTGAATGAAAATTACATCATGACATGCAAACCTACTTATGTAGATCCCAGGGCACTTCTTTCAAGGAGGTGTAATGTGTACAATTCTCGTCTAATTCAAATTGGGCGGGGATGTCGTCATCTTGGTTCTCTTCATATTCGTTCGCGGCTGCATGTCCAAACGACTTGCTGCTATTGACGACCATTGTTAAAGATTCCTAAGCTGGAATTGGACCTTGATTCAATTCTCCTTATGGACTTTGTTGAAGAAGCTATTGTTAGAACAGGAATCCGTGGGCCGAGTGTGTAAGCTTAGAGTCGTACTCACTAAAGTTCTCGCGCTGTTCAACAGCTCTTTCAAAATTGCAAGATTCGCTCGCTTCCTACTACTCTGACACCGAATGGCTTGCAGTATAGCCGGAAAATGAAGCACTATTCTTTGGTCAGACAAAGGCGAGTAGGTCCGATTTTGGGATGCAGGAGTGAAAGTTACAATGCTAGTCTGACGAGGACGAAATTTAGAAATTGGTGATCTGACAGTATCTACTTGTTGATTTGAACCTCGTGACTTCAAGAGGCTGACTGATTGAATTCTGTGTCGGGAGACCTGTTTGATTTCTTGGAAAGCACTACCAGACCCGAGAATTCTCAAACTAGAGCTCGTGCCAGTCGCGCTTCTTAATGAAGGTGATATTGGTTTCCCTCTGGCACCAATTTCAAAATGAACTGCGCTGCTTAAGACAACACCAGGTCCTTGTCTGATAATCACTTGGAGACGTCTTCCAGAATTTGAGTGACAAAATGATGTCTCAGGATGAGGTAATGAAAGAGGTGCTGGTGGAGGTAGTATACCTTCTAAAGATCGACGATTCTTCTCTTTCTGTTGTCGTGTCTGTACGTATGGGGAACGAGTACTTTAGGACAATTCAAGATCTGGTCGATGGCATCCAGCAGCAGAAACGAATAGATCTTGTATTTCTTTTTCCAAAAATGAAATTCTTTTATCACCCATATAAGAACTTTTCTTTTTCACGTGTGGATCCTTCAGATTCAACCTTGCTGAACCAAACGAAGAGAAGAAGATGGTAGAGAACAATAAGTACTCGAGTAACACAGGTACTATCTAGATATGGTCAGTGACTTTAGGGCACATGATTTAATGTTTCAAACATAATGAACACATACATTGAGTGGAATACTACACCATCCATTTCCTCTTGGAAACTTCAAAAGGATGAAGTGAATGATTGAAATTTGTGGTGGTAGCCTTCCACACCACATGCAATTTGCAAACAAGGTGAAAGAAGCTTGGGCCATACTGTAGCTGCAAGGCTGATGGTGAAAGCAAGGGTTGCACCTTGAGAACAACACGTCTCCAATGTGTTGACTGAGTCTCTCCAGAGCTTCAATAAATAACACTTTCAAGGACTTTCCATTTCAATATGTTCAACGCTTTGAATCGCTTTATTTCCCGATTAGATTCGGACTCTCCCGCTCACCAGAACCGGGACAACCATGCCGCATTTGGATTCCAAGTTCTTAGGAACAAGACCCCAGAACTGGCTGTTGAACCTTGGTTTGATTTTATTGTCGGAATTAATGGACGAATGATCGTGCGTTCTCTTATCTAATACCATTGGCATAGCTGATTAGATTTAGGACGATTCTGATGCAAATCTGTTTGCTCAAGAAGTACGCAATTGTGCGGGAAGTTCAGTAACTCTTGGTCTCTGGAGCGCAAAGGCATAAACCCCCTCGCGATTCGTTCACATTCGACAAACTAACAAATTTAGGGCCAACGTACTCGAACTATCCACATTCCCGTTTCTTCTAATACTCCATCCTTAGGCCTGACCCTTCAATGGACATCTCTCTCCACCGTTTCAAATATATGGCATATCTTAGACGTACCTGCAAACTCTCCTGCCGACCTCGCGGGCCTCCTTCCTTACAGCGATTATATTCTCGGCACACCTGAGGGGGTTTTACACGGAGAGAGTGGATTGGGCGAATTAGTCGAGGATCACATCGGGCGACCATTACGACTTTACATCTACAATAATGAATACAACGTTACAAGGGAAATCACTATCCACCCGAGTAGAGACTGGGGTGGAGATGGAGCTCTGGGTTGTACTTTGGGATATGGAGCGTTACATAGATTGCCAGCTCCGCTGAGCGAGCCTGTTGCTGGACCAGGAGAAACATTATTTGAAGGAGAGAGCGCGAGGTTTTCGAATGAGGAACCTCGGGAGAAGATGGGGAGCGAAGGCAATGCAGGTCAAGTTTTTGTGCCAGCTGCGGTGGCACAAGAGCCAGGTGAATTTCTGGTACCAGCGCAACTTGCGGCCCCAGTAACCACGACACCAGCAAGGAAGAAAGAGAAGAAACACGGGCACAATCCGAATAACTTCATGGATGACTATTTCATGGAGGGAGAGAAAAAGAGTAGAGAGTTAGATCATGCGCCGAGCACGAAAAGTGGTGGTGTGCCTCCACCTCCTAAAGCAGGAGGCCCTCCAAGGAGCGGGACACCCAAAGCCGCAAGCCCGACGCCCAGTCCAATATCCACAGAGACGAAAGATCCATATGATAGTGGTGTTGATTAACTGTCCGAGATAGCACTAAATGTATAGCCAATAATTCCACATTTTATGTGTATATGTGACTTGAAAAACAAAAACAAAAACACCCTTATAATTCATAATAATGGGAATATATTCCTCCCCAGCTTTTGGTAATCCTACAGTCCCTGCAAAATCTGTCTTCCCACGCTGCATCAACGCTCTCTTGAAATTCACACATCTAATTGATGAAGTTAACGCAAAAGAAATGTAGAATCAAACTTCCAAAAACGTAATCTGCAAAAAGCCCTGTTTATATTGTTAGCAGTACCCCCGATTCATCAATAAATGAGAAATATATACCTCTCTGGAGAGACGGAGTTAAATTCTGCCTTGTTCTCCTCGTTCGTCTGTATGCGTAATGAAGCCGTGAGAACGAATTGTCCTACAGTTGCCGAGAATCCAGAAAGAAATGCATTGAATGGCTATCGCGATTGTGTTAGCACATGTCCTTCCACTATCCACACGCACATCGTTTCCCATTGATCCCCATATGTTCCTTCCATACGACCCATATCCAAAGTACAATATGGTACTTACGTAGTTGCCAGCCAAGATACAGTAGACAAATTGTAGTACCCCCACTACAACCAAAAATGACATGAACACGTCGATCAACTTCGTTCTCTGTGGTGTTTTATTGAGGTAGTTTTGCCAGATGCCGATGGCTACTTGTTGAGGCGATTGATTTTGCGAAGAGGATTTGGAGGGTATCTTAATGGGTGTAGAGGACGGGATAGTAGTTGTGGTAGTTGTGGTTTGTGTGGTGGGTGGTGCGATGGCCGCAGCAGCCGCAGCGTTCTTCTTCGGCGCCATTGTTCAGAATCAAAAGATCGTGTGCGTGGGAAGGAAAGATCGTGAAATTCGTGGTGTAATTGGAAAAGTGTGAAGGTTGTGGTTGTGAATTGTGAATTTTGGCTTAGAGCTCGAAGGCCACGAAGCTTGATGCGATTACTATGGGGATGGTGCTAGCGTTTGCAGGGGTCTCTGCATGGGGGCAGAGCCGAGGGGTAGCTTCCGTCATTCAATCGCTTTAGCTTTGTAATACTAAATAAGATATCACAGAATTACCGAATAGTATCGAATCATAGGAAACGTCTCATCAATCAATCTCAATCTCAATCTAATTCAAGAACAAATCGCAAATATGGTGGGTTCATGAATCTACTCCTTGAACATATACAGTTTATTGACGGTGCCTAGGGAATCGAATTGCCAGCATATATTCTTGGTGCACTCACTGCGGGCGGTGGAACGATGGGTTATGTCAGGACTGGAAGTATTCCATCTGTCGCCGCAGGTCTCACTGTTGGATCCTTGTACCTATTGGGTGGTTATCGTATCCAAAGCCGCCTGTCTTATGGCGTTGAGTATGTCTTTTTGCTCCATCGTGTATATCTAACCATTTACCTTTGTTCCAAAGCTTATATTGTTTTTTTAGACTCGCTCTTCTCGCATCTGTTGTTCTTGCAGGCTCTTCCATTCCAAGAGCAATTCGCAGTCAAAAACCTTTGCCAGCGGGTTTAAGTCTACTCGCCTTGTACGGACTATTCACCTTCGGAAATGCATTCAGAGCGCGAAAGTGAAAAATGGTATACCAGGCCAGGCGTGTTCCAAAATTGATCAAATTGGGTGTGATGTTCTACTTCAATAATTAAAATATTTCCAAAGCCTTTCACTGTAGATGTTTATAATGGTTGAGTTGAGTTGAGTTCTTGATATGGTCTCATCCGCGAAGTACAGACACTTAATATAGCACCTACTCCATATCCGACACACCTCCCTCTTATCAAGTCGATCCATTTGTATCATCGTGGCAAACGTCTTGTCCCGAAATGTAATGCCGATATGATTCAAGATTGAATGACATCCAACGCCCCCTCTATCGTAAACCAACGCCCTTCCCCCATGACCCAATCCCTGAGACGTATCTGTGAAATCAGACTTATACCCTTATGAAGCCTCATCTATCTCTGCCCATTTCGCTTTGATTTTCTCGTTCTTGACTTTTGCGGCTTCTCGGTTCGCCGCTGTTCGTGCCAGTCGTTGCGCCCTTAGACACTTGTTTACTGCTGTCTTTTTATCGTTGCACATTCCCATACATTTCCACAGGAATCCTCTGGCATGGCATTCATCCAAAGCTGCCATGACTTCTTCGCAAGCTACTGAATATTAGAGATTGTCGAAATGGTCTGATGAGCTTTTCCAAATGCATATGTAGAGTTCGCAAGGGAGTAAGAGGTTGAATATAGTACCTGCAGAATTATCTTTGGTCCATAAATGGGGATGCATCTTGAAACTTCTTCTTGATTGTGGAATCCCAGATCGATGTTTGTTTTGGGTAACAAATTATGACATTTGAGATCGTTCAAAAGTATTCGGGACAATTCTAAGCGGTGAAAGTGGCAGTATTAATTTTAGTGGATGCCCCGCGCTCATCTTTCTAATACGATAGATATAATACTGTACTCCAATATTCATTTACTCTTCGACTCAAACTCCTAACCATCTTTGAGATTGAAAGGAACGATAACTTTCTAGTTATTCCAAAGTCTTATTTTTAAAATATGGCGCAACAAATTACGGCGCGCAAGCAGCAAGGTACGTACCTCATTACACATCGGAACTATCAACTGACACTTTATCAGAGCTCCAAAACCAGTACACAAATTACAAAAATGGTCTGCAGCAAATAGCCTCGAAGATTGGTGATGTAGAGACAGAAGCAGAGGAGCACAAGTGAGTCCCAGGCTTATTTTACCCCCGTCTCGTAGAGATCAATCATCTTCCGGTTATCACATACAAGACATGCTTGGAGATTCAAATTCTCACCGCTTGAAAGCCTTATGCTCACCGTCCTTATTCAAACAGACTTGTTCTCGAAACACTTGAACCTCTTCCTGGTGACCGAAAGTGTTTTCGAATGATAAATGGCGTGTTAGTTGAGCGGACGGTAAAGGATGTGGTGCCGGCTTTAAAGACAAATTCGGAAGGTCTACGGAAAGTCTTGGAGGATTTGGTCAAGCAATACAATAGCAAACAGTTGGAAATGGAGAAGTGGAAGGTATGGAAGAGTCGATTCCTCGGCTCGATGGAAATTATTTGCTGACGAGTGTTGTTACACAGAAGAAGAACAATATCCAGGTCGTGCAGCAGTGAAAGCGTCAGCATTTGTCACATATATTGGAGTATGGGCGTTGCATCAACAACAAAGATGGGTAAAAATCTACTTTGGCTCATAAGGCAGTCAATGAGGCAAGGGCTTGCCAGGCTATTCTTTTGCATAACGGGGAAGCAAATATGACATACGCGGGGAAGCATTCATGCCCAAGATCTCGACTTGTCAAAATGATTCTCCTTACTGAGTTACCCCGAAGGTTGTGATATTCTTATGTGCATCACGAGAGTTTGTACAACGTTATAGTAACATTGGATTGCTCGTAAATCGGTGGATGAATCAAAACGTCTAGACCAAAAATATCCAGATTACTGGTAGTTCTGATGCGCTGTATAACAACCAGTACTCCTGCCAGTTCGAGCCTGAGTCCTATATTATCACGGCGGCTCGCGTCTCAAGGCCCAACGAGAACGCCTCGAATTGATGTCTTTGATGCCCAATCATAAAGGGCTGTCAGGAATGAGAGGACCCGAGACGTTCATATTTTTGGCTAAGTTCGCATGAGAAGCGCGGTGTGTTGTTCAATCACCGTCAGGCTGACCAGAACCCTGCATCTGCAGAAATGATATCGGTTGTGGGGGTTTGAAGCAGGATGATTATGGTTCATCTCGTATTTTGTTAATGGATGACGAACATAATGCTTTTGCACAGAGACGGATATGATGTCCATTTGCAGAATCGATACAACGGTGACAACGAGCTTCGTGATATACTCATCTCCGGGTAACCTTCCCTGCTCATCCACATCATAGTGATCGAATATCCCCTACAAAAAGCTGATACTGTGTTGCGAATGTGGAGCAATCCTATGTGGCCTTCTCCTGCTGCGTACACGTGCAATCGTACCTGCTCAACAACGTCTATGAAACAACTCCGTGACAAAGCAAAAGTAACAGAACAAGGCTTCCACAAGGACCTCCGTAGATAACATCATAGATGCTTTCTCCATCATCGTCTTCTTAACCATGGATTTAAACCCACGCCTCGGACGTGACATCACGTAATACCAAGCTGTGGGAGCAAAAGTGTCAAAGTATTGGTGATATCAATGCACAGATGCAGTGCATTTCATAGGATGCTATTCCAAAAGGAGGGATGGTCGACAAGCAAACAATGCTTCATCGGTCGACTGAGGACGGGATGTGATGGGATGTGCAGTTGATAGGCTGCATATATCTTGAAAAGTATTGGTCACTTGAGTGAATAGCAATTACTTATTGCATATGAATAATAGTAGCTATTGGAGGGTGAAGGGCACAATCACTCGATCCCGAATCAGTGCACTTATTTCCAATTCTGTTTGAATGAGTGATGCCCAATGACAATTTTTCTTGAAGCTTCATTTATTCATTGGACAGTAGAGAATGATGGCAGAGAAGTTGAATTCCTCCATTCACATATCTTACCGTTTTCCGAGAAAATCCCCAAGCCGATCCCAAGCCTTGCGTCTTGTACCTGACGTCTGGAAGCTCGATCAACTTTTGCGTCGACCATTCAGAGTTCGAGGTAAGATTAACTTACATCAGGATGTTTTTTTGGGGCGTTCACGATAAACAATTTTGGGGCGTTGTACATTGAAATTACATCACAATCACGCTCAGCCAGAAAGAACCTACCTAACCTAGATACGATACTGAAATCAGTATAAATTTATTGTCTTGCTGAGAAGCACACATACCTACTCAGAGCATCACTTGTTATTACCTACCTCCAGCTAGGTAGGTATCTATCGAATGTATACTAGGTACCTAAAGCTTCACAGCTCAATGGTGTTACAGATCCAATCTAAACAGCACCCCTTACCTCCTTTATAGCTACCTAGCACATAACACTAGATACAAGTACACTCACTTGTTATACTTGATACACTTACACTCACGCTTGCACCTACAGCCTGAGTACCCAAGTAAGATACTACCACCTACATATCGTGTTTTCGTATGTATCTATGGAATATTCTCCCCAAGATCCATCCATAAAGAGAGTTCAATGGGTCACTGCCGAACTTTCATTCTATGGATCGACGGTAAGGGAAGTTCTGCTGTAGAGAAAGTAGGTCCTAGTTAGGTAAACTAGGTAGTATTGCGTGATTCAAACTTCAGAACTCGAGAAGGTGTAATGGCTACGGTTTCTATCCATCTACCTAGGGGTTGTACACAGGGTGGAAAAATTGACAATTTATTGGATCTTGCTTGATTCTACCTTTGAATCATAGGAATTGGAAGGAATTGGGCTGAATTGGATTGAATTGAATTGAATTGAATTGCATCTTACCAGCTGAGCTGTATCTCAAGCTTTGTACCGTCCGTCCTTTCCCTTTGCTCTGTCAGAAGTCCATCCCTAGATACCGTGGACCTTCCAGATACTACTCGGTATGCCTTATCCGCCACACTTTGCCTTTTCTTTTTTCGGTCGTTGTGCTGTGATTCAATGTGCGTACGGGCCATGAAAGGACCCTAAAAAAGAAAGAGCCTCGGAGCTAGCTATTCTACAATCATAGCTCCTTCCATTTGGAACCTTATAAGGATAAGGATAAGGTCAAAGGTCAAAGGTCACAACCACAACCACAACCTATCTTGTATCTAACCTCCAGCTTACAATTTGCTACATCCACCAGATCGTACTTTTTGGTTCAAACATCCAACCAAAAAAAGCTACATCCATACCATCCCGTACCAACAACCCATTACTACCACCTCTTTCATACATACTAGGTAGGTACCTCAATTACAAAACACTCAACATCCATTCAAAATAATCCTTCTCTATCACTCTCTCATTCCTTCCTTCATCCATTAAACCCCACGTTTCTATCTCTCCCTCCCACGCGCATCATTTATTTATTGTCTTGCAGATTCCATAAACAGAGAGACACAAGGCGCTTTCGTGCAGGAAGTCTTTGAATATCTCCGACCTCGAACGAAAGTGGGTAAGCTTCTTTACAATTTCATACCCAAAAGATTCTCTACCCACCCTTCTATCCCCGAATTTTTTGTAAACCCTCTGACGCGATTTATGGCAGTAGGATACCTGCAGCTCAGCCCAGAAAGTGATACCCTTTCAAAGGACCCTAGTTTCATACGGAGGCGTACCCCCCCCCATTCACTTGCGTTTTTCCGCCAACATCCAACTAGGTAGAGTAAGCACATTGGGAAAAGAAGGCTGTCTGCTCGAGGGTCAACGCAAGTCAACACGCAGATACGCATAACTGCGAGATCGCAAGGCTTTACGACGTGTCCTACACATCATACGGCCGACGTGGCAACCAAGGAATTTTGAGGAAGCGGCTATCCGACACCTGCACCTACCCAAATACATCATGTCCAATTCCCCTCCAAAGGAAACGGACGTTGAACAAGGAGTCTCGCCAGATGACACGGATGCACAAATGAATGAACATACGGATCCACACGCTCCTGGAGGCTACGAGTTTGAAGTCAAAGAACAAGATAGATGGCTCCCTATAGCAAATGGTTAGTTGATGATTTCTTTTTTCAGTCATTCACCATCTTGAATTGAATCTTGTGTGATTACCCATATCGAAGTTTATGGTGAATGGTATCGCTTCGTTGATCACACTAATTACACGCGCATGTCCTCGCCTTTGGACCAGTTAAGAGCTTGGAGTACAAACGTTTCAATCTAGCGGTGTCACTGTGATCATACATCCTATCATGTCTCACACTTCATCTTCTCAATCACCGGAGACGCGAGGCGCCTCAAGGGAAGAAAAATATGATCTTGGTCATTCAGAAGCTAACATTCGTAACTTTGCGCCAGTTGCACGTATCATGAAGACGGCTCTACCAGAAAATGCAAAGATTGCAAAAGAGGCCAAAGAGTGCATGCAAGAATGTGTCAGCGAATTCATCTCTTTCATCACAAGCGAAGGTATGTCTCGGTCCGAAATTCGAGATGAATTTTTGTACTGTTCTAATTGTCCTATCACAGCTTCTGAGAAATGTCATCAAGAGAAGCGCAAGACTGTCAATGGAGAAGACATTCTGTTCGCCATGACCTCCTTGGGATTCGAAAATTATGCCGAAGCACTCAAAATTTACCTATCAAAATATCGAGAAGTGAGTCAAGTCACTTGAAAAAATATCCTTGAGCATTTACCTATGATTCATGCTTACTGGGTCAATCATGTACAAGACTAACGGAAATTTTTAGCAACAATCGACTCGAGGAGATAACCAAAATCGACCAGGTAGCTCTGGTTTCGGACCACCTTCTGGAGCCACTACTGCAAATGCCACCTCGGCAACGTTCCCTGTCGGAGCAGAGGGTGCTAATAATGTTCTTGCTGGTCAACAGGTAGAAGCAGAACACGATAGCGGTGCTTATGTTTATGGTGGTGGTCACAATGGTGCTACTGGTGGAGAAGGTTATTAGGTGTTTTGTTTTGGATTCAAATTGACTATATCGGGTGATCGATGAATTTTACGGGCGAAAGATCTACATTGCAAGAATGTATCAACTATATGCAAAGGTGTTGGGAAGGGAGGAATTGGGCGGGTGCTAATGGGCCACTTTCGAGATATCCAAATTGCTTGTACAAAGGATGGGGTCAAAAGTAAGGGGTGTTTTTTTGATGCTTTATTAGATTTCTTGGCTCGTGAGAGCAAGAAGCCGATAACCTCAGGGGGTTCGGTCTCATGAAAGCTCAGAGATGGACGAATGGCATTGGCAGTAAGGACAGCATCAGATGTAGGTTCAACAGCCCCACATCATATTGCTAGAATAATACCACACATCCTATGGCTTGTATATCAAGGGAAAATGAACATAATGATACCATCAACATGTGCATATGTCCCTTTTGTAGCACCTGTTAGTTTTCAACTTTGATCCATGGAGTGTTCTTGCAGTGAACTAAAGATTTGAATATCCTGTATTGATTCACTATTACAGTAACAAGCATTGATAAGACTAATTTGAACCTTTGATGTCCACAGTAAATATACATACTATACTCGTACTAAGTACACTAAGTAGTTTGTGGGGAGGGAGGGGCAAAGCTGGGTCCATCATGTGACTATGTAGATCTAAAATATTTTTTTGGCTTACCTCGGAAAAGCACACGAGCAAAAACTACCATCACCAATTGTAGCCTTGCTTCTAACACAACATAGTTCTTCTTAACACAACAATTATTTTTCTAATACTATTAATGGTCTCAACACACTCTAATTGTCCACTGCAAGTTCTTGCAATATGGTATCTCTTACCTCAAAACCCTCAAAACCCTCAATACCTATCACCACTGGTAGCAAACCACTTTTAAAAACTACCATGTCAGGCACGATAAGAAAAGCTCAAGATGCAGATCTGGATGACGATTTAGAAGTGCCAAATCCGAAACGAGCGAGAGTATCTTTCAATCCCAAGGTCGAAGAAAAGGTTCTAGAGGAGTATGTCGCAAAGGGTAGGAGTTTAGAAAGTATCAGAGTGGAGGTCAAGCGGGCAATAGAGGCACATGGCAAAGGCGACAGCGAAAAGTACGATAGCATTAAAGAAGTATTTGCGCAGACTGAAGGTGACGAGAGAGAGGATACTGGTTCAAACGATGAGGCGAAAACATATCTGCTAGCGCTTACTGGCTATGCATCACTATTGAATAAGGATTGCAACGGGCTAGTTAAGGCCATATTGAAGTGCGACTGGATGGGCAGAGAAGAGGGATTCGTCAAGGCGTATGCTCAGTTTCTGGGAAACTTGGTTAGCGCACAGGGAGCGTATGTCGGGCTGGTGCTAGGAACGCTCGTTGATAACTTTACTGGAGGCATGTTACCCCCCTCATTCTCCCAAGCTCTGCTAACCTGGATACAGTACGAGTATCGAGTGGGCGTCTTCCTGGCTGCCCAGATGTTAGTCGCGATATACTTTCTTCGAGAGTTCATTTTGCACTGAGATACCTTCTTAGATTGGTCCCCTCCGCCAGCGCTACACTCTCGCCCATCCTTTCAACCAAGTTTCCCTTCGCCGATGAATCAAAGAGAGTACATGTCACATATATTAACAATCTCGTTCGTCTCCTGGAGTATGCTCCCGAATTGAAGTCGGATGTTTTCGCTCTCATCACAGACAGACTGGTCAAAATTGATGTACAAATGCAGGTCGACTTGGACGACGTGGACGATGAGGTCGCAGGTGCTATTGTTCAAGGTCTCGCTATGAATCCTTCTGACCAGGAAGAAGAAGATGATGATGACGCAGATGATTCCGACGATAGCGACGCCGAATCAATTAATAGCGATGATGAAAGTGGAGACCAAGCAAAACGTGCCAAAGAAATTCAAGAAAGTGTCGAGAAAATGGATGCAATACTGGACCGCTTATTTGCTATCTACGACCCTTATTTCACAGACCCAAATAGCATAGAGGCCGCAAATATGTTCGAGACTTTACTAGGACATTTCGCCAATATCATTCTACCTACATATAGATCTAGACACACACAATTCCTCCTCTTCCACTTTGCACAAAAGTCTGAACATCTTATCGATCAATTTGCCGGAACCTGCGTGCAACTAGCTTTCCAACCTGGCAGACCCGCTGTCCTTCGACAATCTTCCGCGGCCTATCTCGCTAGCTTTGTGGCGCGAGGCGCACACGTTGAGCCTCAAGTGGTTCGGACCGTTTTCGAGCTCATCGGGAGCAATCTGGATCACATTCGCACGGAAAATGAACTTACTTGTCGGGGGCCCGATCTAAAGAAATATGGCACTTTTTATGCTATGACACAAGCACTACTTTATATCTTTTGCTTCCGCTGGCGAGATCTTATAGATTCCTCCGAGGTATTTGATGACGATGACCCTACAGCATTCATTGGGCAAGATCTCGTCTGGACAACAGGCATCAAAGAGACACTCTCTCGTGCTATTTACTCCAAACTCAACCCTCTTAAAATCTGTTCCCCGCCCATTGTTTCCGAATTCGCCAAAATCGCACATCATCTACGATTTATGTACGTATATCCTTTGCTAGAGACCAACAAACGTATTCGTTTAAGTCAGTTCTCGAGTGCAATTGGAAATGGTGCATTGCGGGACTCGGGTAATGGTGCAAGCAATGACAGCTGGCACCAATTGGATGCTTACTTTCCTTTTGATCCATATCAATTACCTGTGTCAAAGAAGTGGATTGAGGATGACTATGTACAATGGCAAGGCATTCCAGGACTAAACAAAGATGAGAGTGATGATGATAGTAGTGGAGATGAGGAGGAGGATGAGGAGGATGAGAATGCGCCTGAAGACGATGATACGGCGACTGACGAAGAAGCGGAAGATTAAGGTTTCATTTTGGAGTTTGATACAATGCCATTTTTGAAACAGGGAGTTTTGACTACGTATATGCTATTCGGAGTTTCATCATAAGGAGATTATCGGGTACACACATGACTCTTTCAGCGAAGGTTTCGGGCGGGGAATACAGACAAGTGGGCGTTTTATGATTGGGTTGAGAAAAGTCTGGCGTCGGTATTGTTGGCGTTCATTCTTTTTTGGGGGAGGGAAATTCCTACATAAACGGATTGTTACACGGGATTCAAAAAGGTTGGGAGACCCGGCGATTTTGCGTGGGAATTAGTCAATGGTGCACAAGTTATGATTGTAGACTTGCTTGCTATTCAATTCGTCTCAGTCATCGCGATCTTGCACATAGAGTTAGGTATTGCTAGCCGCTCATGAACTAGCAGATACCTACATTAGGTTGGGCTATTAAGTTTCCCTGTGAGAAATGGAACGTCCGGATAGAGCATATATAGATAAAAGAACGTTTACAACATGTCCGTTTCATTTTGATGACCGCCGTGATTAGACTTCCTTGACTAACTATCCGTATTCTTGCACTACCTAAATCCTCGTTGGGTGTTTATCGCCTTTGATGCCTGGCACTAGAACTGCGAGGAAGATATGCTGACCTACGAGAAACATACTACAAAGCATGTAGGCACCTAGGTAAGTAATAATAGACCGGGTGTGCATAAGTTCCACAATATCCATGCGAACAACCTAATATTCAATCACAAGACATACAAGACTCCAGTACATGGCTCAACCAAACACGCCATCACTAATATCCTACAATCCTCCCCTCACTCTAAATCGGCACACTTCCCGCAACACTAGCCCAAAATTTACACCTTGCCTCCAAGCTGTATCTCCCCACATCAATCCCCACATTTGCGAACCCATCACTCGCAATTACATATTCCCTTCCGGTAGTGACTTCTGGCACGCCCGGCTCCGATGCATTTGTCAGCTTGTGTTTGTTGGGGTTTCCGGTTGCCATGAAGGAGGCGAATGCTCCGGCGTAGCCTTGATAGATGAGCGGTTGCGATTTTTGGACCGCGTTGACTTGGTTCCACTGGTTGAAGTAGTTAGAGAGGGTTGAGAATATTACGAGGGGGGAGGAGAAGGAAAATGGGGAGGGAAAAAGATGGAAGGAGGTGGATTTACATAGATGGTATCGCTTCCATGTCTCGCGGGACGGATCGTATATTCTCCCATCCATCCGCGTCCACTCGCCGCCTTGCTCGTCCACAGAGCCGGACATGCCAATACCGAGTCTCGATATATAAGTCCTGCTCGCTCGTACGTGGTGTTGTAGGCGGGAAAGGTCTCTGCAGTGCCGGAAAGAGGGTATAGGGCGCGCACGGCATCGAGCTGGGATTTGGAAAATGAGGGGAGGTAGCCGGCGAGCCAGACGTTGAAGGAGGCGATGGTGGAGTTGAAGGGTGGTGTACCGGTGTCCGTGGCGTTTTGAAGACCGGAGGGAACGAAGTTTTCGCCTGGTTGGGAGATGTTAGTGGTTCGGTTTTGCAGTTGAGAGGGGTGATTTTTGTTGCATGTGTAATGAAACTCTAAAGGAATATTTCTTCTCAAAAAACTCTTCAACATCCCAAAAACTACCGGGAGAATCATAGAATTTCAGACGGAGTAAGTTATCTCTCGACGCACAAGGAGCAAATTTACGGTATCAAACCAGCCCAGTATTCAACATAATACTCGACTTTCACCATTCTGACCGAAAAAGAAACACATTTTACCTTCATGCGCATTATACATGCCCCATCCCCCTGTAATAGCGATTTCCCCTTTGCCGCCTCTGCCACCCTTCGCATTGACCGTCGCTTCACTCAAAGTTTTCTTCAGGAACTTCCCATCAATAACTGGCGCCCACGTATAACTACTAGTATTCCAAGTATGACTCGCCGCAACAACTAGCGCGGCTTCGGCCAGAACCTCCCATTCTAGAGATTTCAAACACTGTAGAGTGCCATTGATAGCGCCAGTGCAGTTTGTCAGGTCCGTCATGGTATCGTAAATGGATTGAGCTTGGGGAGCATCGTAGGTGTATGATTTGGGCCAGAAAGGAGAGGAAGCGAGAGCACGATTAAAGAGGGGTGGAGTGGTTTCCCCGGAAGTGGCGAGGACTTGTGCGCTGTATGAGATTGTCGTTAGTCAATACATACATTGAGCATATAAGAGGGATTGCTCTAGAGGTAGTAAAAAGGAGTAACAAACACCACACTGCCCGCTCCTGCGCTTTGCCCCCAAATGCCCACATTATCTTTGTCTCCGCCAAACTGATCGATATACTTATTTACCCACTCAAGAACGGCTCTCTGATCCAGCAATCCAGGATTTAGATCTGAATTTTCATCTTCGGCAATCTCTTTTCCTGGGAGAAATCCAAATGTATTGACACGATAGTTGGGGTATACGAAGAGTATATCATTCTGAGCAGAGACATTGAGAACGGGATAGGCCGAAGGGGGAACTGCCAGCGAACCACCGCCTTGAATGAATCCGCCCCCGAAGAAAACTACCATGACTGGTCGGAGTGGCTGATTGGACGTCCATGGGCGAGAGTAGAGGGATAAGTAAAGACAGTCCTCTGATCCAACATTCTACATTTGGTCATGTCAGACTTAAATTGACCGGATATGTAGCATGACTATGGGGATAAAGTGCTTACACCTTTTTGAGGACAAGCGGGAAATGTTTGAATGGAGTTATAGGTTCCATTTGTGATAGGAAGAGGAGGCTGTGGGCCTCTAAACCTATTGTTCCCAGTTGGGGGTGCTGCAAAGGGGATTTTCTGATAATAGGTTATGTTATATGTAGATGAGTATGCACCTTGGAATGTGCCATAATCTAGAGATGCTGTGATATTTTGTGCAATTACAAGAAAGGGAAAGACGAATAATGAAAGTAAAACGGATTGAAGTGAGGTTAAATCCATCTTGAAAGCAACCAAAACGATCATGGAAATGTAATGGATGATAACTTCAACCTTCAATTTCCTTGGCACTTACAACCTTTATATACCCAGATACTTCAAGTGTCGTTCATCCATACCTACCTACCTAGTCAATGAATGCATACAAACTTGATTCCTAATTGAAGACACTTTTTGAATGAAGAGAGATGTTAAATGGCGGGGTTATGCAGATCTGGGGGAAAAGAGCTCGGAAGAATCCGACCAGGATGCCACATACACTTTTTAAGTGAAATAAGCGACCAATAGAAAGACGTAAAATATATTGCCTAATACCTAGGTACATATCAATCATCATATCGCATCACAACTGCATCCATGGATTAAAATATCGGGCTTTGCTACACCGAAATGTGTATTTTTCCGTGCTAAATAAAGTTAATGCTGGTAAACGTGATCAAGACCAAGACCTGTCCTCAAACTCCTGTCCTCCCCAATAGCCTTTGCTTTCATAAACGCTGAGGGTATAAGGAGAAGATGCGCATCATTATGCAAGGTATCCCAAAGCTCCATTCCCAAGTATCCCAGATGAGAAAAAACCGCTAAAAAAAATGGAAACGTGAGCCCTTGCTCCATCGTGATCCTTGATCCCATAAATAAAAGGAAAAATGATGCATATCGTGATGTATATGCATGAGAATATGTTAGGTTATATGGTACCATCGTTGTGGTGCCCTTTGCGGTCTGTAGTCTTGTCAAAGTTAGTGATAAGGCATTGGACCATAATTTCGACGTCTCGGACCTTGCATTATTATGTCTTCTCTTGGCAAAGGTGGCAATGGAGGGCGATCCATGGCAGGCAAATCATCTTTGACATCCTCCTCTCTCCTCTCTGCCATTTCCTTAAGAATTAGCGTCGATAGTTCCGGATTGTCCATGAAGAAATTTGAGGTTTCCTCTGGATACTTCTTCCACAATCTAGCTTGCAAGAAACCAACTCTAGCAAAGACTTTTTTGAGCAGAGGATCCATTGAGCTTACACCATCATATAAAGTTTTACATGATTTCAAGACCGAAGGTAGTGCAGCATCTGATCCAGCAACTTCGAAATTGTTTACGATGAATGCGGATATACAGTTTTTGAAGTCCTGCATGAGATATCTCTCGGCGCAAACGTAAACATCGACGCTTATAGAATACGCAATTGACCATGTTCTCAAATCTTCTTGAGACATTCTCTCCTCTACAGGAGGCTCATCCAAAGCATTGTTTCGAGAGCCTCTTCTACGATCTCTAGGGCCAGGAGCCTGAGGATAACCATTACGACCCATGACGACCGGCATTGGCTGAGGTGGTGGTGGGAGACCATTCATCCAACGATTTCTGGGTGGAGGTATTCTTCTCGTTACGCCACAGTTCCAGCAGGTTGGACCAAAGGTTTCTACGGTACATTGAGCACAATTGCAATCCGGCCGATGACGTCCAGATTCCTTTCGTTGTCTTTGTTCCCAGGCTCGCTCTTGACGTCTGCGACGAGTTTCGCGTCTTCTCCGACTTCTGGCACTTTGAGCATTTAGTAACAAGATCTCATAGAGGTTTCGAAAATTTAGCAGGGGATTCTACCTTTCATCGCTTGCGGTTCCACTGTCTGATCCATCATCACTACCCGAAGCATTTCCATCTTCGTTCTGTTCTTTTCCTTTACCCTTTTCCGGTTCGACGACGAGGATTTCTGCGACAGGACGCAATGGAGAGTACTTTGACTCATAGAGGAACGCGATGACAAACTCGAACAGCGTGGGATTTTCCTCGGGTAAATCAAGAGCTTGATCTTGGGCTTCTTTGAACCCTCCATCCAACGCCTTTCTGAAGTATTCCGATTTGGTGAGTATATCGCGGTGAACATAAAAGGTTTGGGCATGAGGTCCGACACGGATCGGTATCATCGGTGATGAATAGCGACTAAGTAATCATTAAATCAGCATGGGTTGTTTGCGATTTCTGAGAGACTGATGTGCATTCCAAACAGAATCGCAAGAGATGATAGATGTAACATACCCATCGACACTAGACACCCAAAGATCCTTTTTAGGATCTGCCACTTCTCTGACCTTTACATCTTCGTCCACAAAATTGAGAACGACGACATCTGGAGTAGTAGTAGAAGGCGCTCGCATTGCCGCATCAAGAGAAGTCTCTCCTCGATTCGTTCGAGGATTTCCTGATTGTGCAGCCATTGTTCCCAAGGTTTGTTTTTTAGGATAGCCACAAGTGTATACTAGAAAGTGAGATGACCTTAAGTAAAAGGTGGTAAAGATAGGACTGAAAGATATCAGCCCCGCTCTTGAATATGATCAAGGCTTCCCGCTTCGTGCTACCACACCTCTTTTTTTTTCTGGTTTCGCAAATCACAGAACCACGAAAGCACGAAACCACGACGTCCCTTTGTGGCGTTGTTTCGACTACCTTGGAAGTGGATGATTAGTTGTGGTGGTGTTCCAATTCAGCTGGATGGGTAAATCAGAAAGTAGATAGGCGCATAGTATCTGAGTAAACTGTCGGTAGACTGTATGTAGAACGTGAAGTGGAAATAACGATAGATCTTCGCAAAGACGAAGAATGATTGTTAAGCTGAACAGATGGAAGTTTGACCCAAGTTGTAGATATTGATATGGAGTGAGTAGGCGTTGAAAGAATTGAAAGAAGTGAATTAATTGCCTACCTAGCTACAACGGTCGACCGTCAGTCATGTCAATAAATGGATGGAAGTGGAAGTGGATGTAGATGTGGATGTGGATGAACTCTGAACTTACTCCGTATTATTAGTGGTGGGGGAGGGGCAATTAGATAAGCTTGTCTGCTATACCACCATACCTACCTAAAGTATAAATCAGCGGAAGAAGATAAAGATATACAAAGAACACACCTACCGAGAACCTACCTCGTATCTACCTCGTATCTACCTCTACCCTCCTCTACCTCTCTCAGCATTTTATTTTATATGCAATAACTCACAGCTTACTCAAAGATGGCAAGGAAAAATAAAGGAAACGTACCTACTGGTACCTAGGTAAGGATGGGATGGATAATATCACAATGGCTGATCTTCTAGCTTGTCTCGAGCAGGGCTTATTACGAACTTTGCTACCAGGTATGGTGGTATATGTGCTGTTGTTGTACATCGATATCATTCATACCTACCTGACAGCGACAAGCTATCAACACAACTACATTACATACATTCCGATCTGATGAAACAATAACTAACTCATCAATTCTTGGCTTCTCAATTTCCATATCAACTCTCTCCTAAAAAAAGACAAGACAAGAAACTAATCACGCCAAAGACCCGGTACATTTCAGATCTACATCGACCATCACCTCCCGAGGTAATGGGTACATCGCCTCGATCACTACCAAGCCAAAGTTACATTGCAGAAGATACTGCAAGAACATGCATTTGATGTATCTACTATATTTCATTCCATGTCTATGTCACTTTGAACTACCAACATCTTTCCACTTGCCTCACAGTACCTCCCTAGGTAGTCGATATTTCCCGAGGATAAGGTAGCCAAGGGGGTAAAACAGAAAGATATGAATGAACAAAAGAGTAAAAGAGAACGGAAAAATCACTGCTGATGCTGATCAATCCCCAACAGAGTGGTCTCATATGTTACCACGTCGGTCTCAATAGTGGTCAGCCTTGCTGTCGTTATGTCACATGCAGTGCCTCAATTTCTCTTTGGGTCGGTCAGCTCCATGGCAGGGCATAGCTACATGTGCCCCAAATCTGATTCATGGATGATAACTGGCCGCTACCCAAACATCTTTTGGGCAACATTTTACCAGTCCCACCTTTAGATAGGTACCTATACCCAAGAAGAGAGAGCGATCCCCCATTTTCAATCTTGTTTTCCCTTCTTCAGCCACCATTCCCTAACATATCCGAATGATCGGTACCGGATGCTCACAAGGAAGTCCCGAATTCATGGGTGCATGATAATCGCGATCTATTTTTCGTGCTCACCGTGGAAACTCTAGTCGATGTTACAATACATATGACAGATATGTATGCCCGATCATTGTAAATATGTAGGATGCGGAGGAAAACTTCCTGAATATTGTCTCATTAAGATTTAGGATGAAAACCCTTCGAAGGATTATCGTGTCAGTCGCATGTTCGGAGAAACGATTGCGTCCTAAACGGAGACCTGCATGCTCGTGATTGCTTCATGCATGGGAAACGCCTAGGATTACAACGTTGAACAATATGGCTACGAAATAAGCGACAGATGAAAGAGCATTCATCAAACATTTAGTTCATCGAGATCTCTATGTACATGAATTGGTAGAATCAAGATTAGACGATTCTTCAAGTCACGACAGCGTCTGCGAACATACTAGACCATCAATCGGGCTGATTAGATCCCCTCTCCATTTTCCTCTGAGCTGTCACTTTAGAAAGTTCCCACCTGTTTTGGCCATTATTTCATCATAGTAGCCTTGAAATGCTAACCACCCTTTTTCTGGTCCTATATTGAGTCAGCAATCTGTAAATTTCTCCCAAATAGAAGCCAAATATACCTCCGACTTGATCATAAGTAAAAGCTGCCTCCTCATCCCCAATGATCTTCTTCACCTTCCCACTACCTGAAGCTGCAGCATCAACAAGTAGCTGGGCATGACAGGTTTTATCGAGGCTAATGAACCAGAAGGCTGCCTCATCCACACTCTGTCCTACCGTTAACAGCCCGTGATTCTGTAAAATGCACGCCTTGCCGTCGCCCAAACTTTTCGCGATACGAATACCTTCTTCGCGGTCAAGTACAATCCCTCCAAAATTGTCATATACACTATGCGATTTGTAAAAGCGCAGAGAATCTTGAGTTATCATATCAAGAGGAAGACCGAATGCGCTGTAGGCTTTGCCATAGACAGAATGGGCATGGCAAGCAGCGTGTACATCGGGACGAGCTTTGTGAACTGCCAAATATCAGCTATCTTGAACAGGCCGATTGTGGAGTTCTTGTACCTTCAGAATGAATGGCAAACGCCGCAGCATTGATTGGCTCATCTCCAATTACCACATCTCCATCTTCGTTCACCAAGATAAGGTCTGATACACAGATTTGAGAGAAATGTTGAGAGAGGGGATTAAGCCAAAAGTGATCAGTAAGAATGGGGTCACGAACTGATCTATTCCAATTTAATTAGCTTCTTATCATCGGCGACTAAAATACTACTCGACGGCATTCTCACATATGGCCAGCAACCCCTTCATCGAAACCTCGATCGGCGAATCTGTCACATCTCAGTAACAATTCAAGTATCACAGTTTTTAAGAAGATTCTCACATCCTAAATGCAGCAGCCAAATGCTGTTTGCGATATAATCTCTCTTCTTCTAAACTTTCAAACCTCGGGTACGACCTGATTTTGAGCTTTTTGCCTGACACAGTCGTCCCCTTTGCGCCCACTCGACTATTATTTGCGGGTTCATTATCGAGAGAAGTCGCCGTTGGTGACATACTTTTGATAAGCTTATTATTGAAGGCACCTAAGTTTGTATAACGGTTCCTCAAGGGAAAAGGGCAATTTATAAATGAAGGCGGGAAGGTTGATGATTATCTCTTAGTGGGCGATCATGCTGGTGTTTCAGTGCTACCCACCTTACCCCGCCGCGGGGTATCGACAGCAGCGCAAGGTTCAATACGTTATCTATCTACAAGTACTACTGTATAATAATCCCCGAGACAACTTACAGATCATCTAACACTCCAGGTATCTTTGATCATTTTTTTAATATATAATCGCGTACTCAAGATGCGGTGTTATGCCTACTCCCTAGCAGATACTTTGATAAACATCAAGAAGTCTCGATAATGCGGGCGTCCGCACTTTTAAGCCCGGAATTCAATATGAACAATACCACTGCTTTTCTTCTACGACAGAAGCAATCACCTTCATTTGCTTTTGTGGCCTAGAACTGATTCTGAGAGATCCAATGGGTCTGGAACAAGAACTAGGTGTCACGGCCAAGTAAAGTTTTCACTGTCAGCTAGATCTAGGTGTTATATGATATGACTGATCATCCATCATATGAGTGTAGAACAACACGATTTCGACTGGCCGTTCCTCTGACATTCTCGCATCCTACAATCCATTCAAGGAACAGCTTTAAAGCCTTTCTCTTCTATCCAATACACCAAGTTCTACTATCTCAGGAGATCCAACTACAGACCCAGAGATCAAAAGTCGAGACGTTTTCTATCCTCGCACTACGACGGAATGGATCAATCTATCACAGTCTCGACTGAGATGGAACTTTGAGGTTGAGACTCTCTCGATCCTCGTCGGAAAATCGATGTTCTCTTTCCGGTTGGTGGGTTTTAAGATAGCGATGTATATGAAGTGAAATATATCGACGTGGATAACTTTGATGGGTCAATACGAAACGTATGGAATCTCCCAGATCCTCATCTAACCGTGGGAATGAGTTGGTTGTGTTGGTGTAGGTAGGTAAGATCAGAATCATGAGTGATTTTGGGCTGCCCAATACATTCAGTTGAAAGTTGACAGAGCACAACTCCCTTGGTCAACTCGAATATCCACATCACAAGCATCACGCAAAATGGTTACTTGTCAGTCACTGTATGCACAAATATAATATAAAGATCAAAAATGCTGACTTCATTCATCATTCTAAAAGCCAAACCACTGCAACAATTCCCCTCAAAACCCATCCATCATTAACCAAATAACACGGGGTATTCTTCAAACTTGTGATGGGTATGTAAAAGAAGTTTATCATAACATTTGTTGACCCTATAATCCTATGGAACCAGAAGCTTTAAATCCGCACCCAAACCAAACTCAACGAAATGTGTTGCTGTCTAGCGCCGCGTAATGCGTTGTGAATGTTCTTTGTATTCTTATAATGCCAATGCAAATGATTATATCCACCAATGTATGCTGATATATATCTACCACGGTATTATCTATTATATCTCAAATCTTAACGGTACGAAGAGAAATGATTTACAACATGAAAGCAGCAAAGAGACCACCCAACAAAGCGAAAGATCCAGTAGCAACCTTTGCTGAAGCAGCGCCAGTAGCGACAACAACACCACCGGAACCGGTCTTGGTAGCAGAAGCACCGGAGCTCAAGGTGACGTTGGATCCGGAAGGAGCAGTCCAGGTTCCGTTTGTAGCGGTTCCGTTGGTGGCTGGGGCAGCGGTTGGAACTGGAGCTGGAGTGGCGGTAGCGGTGGTGACGGTGCTGAAGTAGGAGCTTGGGCAGGATCCTGGGTGAGCTGGGTTGCATCCACCTGGGATACCAGAGATGCTAGAGAAGACAGAGCTGGTGGAGGAGGACAAGGCAGCGTGTGGCTCGGTGGTAGCAGAGGCAACGACAGAGGTTACGACGGCGGAGGTAGGAGCGACAACAGATGATGAGGCGGTGGTTGAAACGATGACGGAGGAAGAGGAGGAAGCAGCGGCTTTGATGACGAATGGGAATGACCATTGGAAGGTGTTGACATCGGAATCGAGGAAGATGGCAATACCGTAGGTTGCGAAGCTACCAACGGAAGCTGGGACGGTCCACTTGTATGATCCATCCAAGTTGTTGACGGAGGCTAAGTGTTTTCGTTAGTGCAGTTGTCCCAATCTTCAATGCATAGAGAGGAACTGTAACTCACTGGCAATGACAACAGGGTCGTAGTTCAAGGTAGCAGGGGAAGAACCCTCCAAGAGCTTGATGGTAACAGTTCCGGCGACGGAGTTGGGAGCCCAAGTGATATCCAAAACCCCTCCAACACTGACAACTTGACCGTTGGTTGGAACTGAGATAGCGTCAAAGCCAGGAGTTTGGGCAAAGACGGAGGAGATGGAGGCCAAGATGGCGGCGGAAACGAATTGGTAACGCATTTTGATATTAAGGGTTGATTGAGAAGAAGAAATTCAAAGAATGGACAGTATCAAAGATACAAAAGATTAAGGTTGGGGAAGAAGAAAAAAGGATTGATTTTCTTTTATTATTTTTCAGTCTGTAGTGAGTAAGAAAGAAGAGAGGAATGTCGGAAACTGGAAAGAGAGGATTCTTTAAACCACTTTCTCATTTCGCAAACTTACAGGTGCATGTGCCATTACCCTTGGCAGCACCACTTCTTACTTATGGGGAGGGAGGGGGGTGGCTCGGGAGTGTTCTAGGCTGGGATATAATTATACTTTTTAATAGAAGAAGGATTAAACGCTAGAGTCAGGATGTTGGATCCGGATTGGTTACAAAGTTACACGGAACCAAATTCGACGTGTTGATGATTGACACAAGAGAGATTTGAGTGAATTTGGTGTAAGATTTGGTTGACGGAGGATGGAATTGGAGGCGGAGGGTCATTAGACGAGATGTACCTTGGTGGGTTATAGATCATTTGATTCGAGGATTATGTTGGAAGCATAGGTAATTACTGAGGATAAAACCCTGAAAAAGGAAATTAGTATGACAAGGGTCAATTTTGCTCACTTCCATGGTACGTACGTACATACTGTTATACTGTTTTAATGCACGCACGTTACACGATTGGAAGAATAGAATAGTTGCCGTCTCATAATGTGATGATGGTGTAGATGATATGTGCTGAATGAAATTCAGATATTCTTCGGTTAACCCCTTCATCGATACCCAAAAGTCCGCATCAAGCGTCCAAATACTCGTATATCGGACATAGAATCAAGTAGATCACTCACCATTTAGTATTCCCTGTGGATAACCTTAATTCTAGGATGCGTTAATGCATTGATTTACAAGGACTAATGGAGGGTACCTGAGCCTTACGAAAAACAGTTAACTTTCCCCTGTAGGCGGGCAGGACTTACATGGAACCTAGTGTTTGCTGCAGACTGCAGCAGACAGAAGCTTAGCCTTTGCATCACCAATAAACGGGAAGGAAGGGGGAGGGGACGAAGCACAGTAACAAGGCTCAATCAGACTGAGTAAGCATAGCCTAAATGCGCAGAAACATCAAACATCTTCACGATACTCGGTGTCGTCTCAAAAAAAAAAACTTTACATCGAGTATCGCGTACCGACGGTCCCGACTCTATCATTTATACTCTTTTTAACGTCAGCCACCAAACTCTGTCTTATTATATTGGTAAATTCAGTGGATTGTATTTCAAATGTTGTTTGACTTTTACACTTTTGATTGCGACTTCTAGGAATACGAGATTAAAAATGATGTGGCCAACCAAGGAACAATGATTCAACTTGCAAGTGTCCACTCGTGCACAGAAGATGATTCCCACGGAGTAAAGTCTTTGCTTGGTACACTGAGTGGGTAGCAGTGGGTTTTGCTTGTTAGCTCTCGAGTCCACCAGTCTCCCCAAGTTGAACTGGTGAAGCAACTTTCGGTGATTGACTCCGAAGAGACGGAAAACACCCCTTTACCTACCATGATGGATAATTAGAATATGGACTGATAGTCTGATAGTCTGATATCACTTTTCTTTAGTCTAGCCGTCGCTCATTTCGACAGAGCGAGGAAACTTCGAAACGGATCGATACCAACCAATTGCCATGTTTAAGCGCTGTGACTCTAGAAGCCTAAACAACTGTCTGACTACGTGTGGACTTTACGTACAGCATATAACTGTCGGTAAGATTATAGCATAGGACTTACAATACCGTGGGTGCATTTTGTCCTGCGAGTGATCTAAAACATGTTTCGCCGACTTCGCGGTGCACATCGCCATCTGGGACAAGTTCTATCACTGATATAGCAATTCGAATGAATGTCATCGTGATTAACTTGCTAATCGCTACACATCCAGCATTGGATTGAAAAAAATCACGATGACTTCATGTTCGGGTCTCGAGTTATCTCACAACAAACACTAAAACGCACAAATCGCGGGGAAATTTGAGTCCTTTTCCTGGGCAATATATGACCTGTGGGATCCTCCTTGTTTTTGCCATGAAATCCAAATTAAAAACGATCTTGGGTGACATTATGAGTGAGGGGGGAACAAGGGTAAGTTTTGCTGATGAATTCTAGGCTTTGTTGATGCAATTTGTTTGTTCCGTGTGCCCAGAATTCTTCTCTCTCTCTTTCTCTCTTTCTCATCTATGGAATTGAAGAATTGGAAATGCTATGACAACTCGATGTGGCACGATTTGCGAATTTTGAAGAGACAAGCTTGAATCGAGAGTTGAAACGACAATCAATATAAGGTTGAGCGCAATGAGCGCCAGTTTGCGGGCACTGAGGTTGTCGATCTCGGTTTGATCGAGGAAAAATACCTGTCCTAGCATGGTCTGCTTTGTCTACTTCTTATAGTTTTTCGTCTCAATTATCATTATCGTTCCAAAATGTTGCAGCAAACCAAGGACGAGCAGTCTATCCTCACCGCCGATATTTCCAAATTCGACTACATGCGCCAATGAAAGAAATATGATGCCTGCAGCATGGATGTTTGCTGAAACGGAACAAGAATAGTCAGGGTGTCAACATGGCCGATTCTTCAGAACCGGTATAGCTGCCAAGTTCTTGACATTGGACATAAGAGTTCTCGCAATCTTGCTCAGCAACAGACCACATCAGTGTAGAACTTGTTGGAAGAAAATCGCGGACTGTTTGACGAGATCGACATGTGTTCCCGTGCGCTTTCATTTATCTAGCAATAAGTACACTCACCCACAGACCCGAGTTTTCAATAATTTTTTTTCAGATTTCCCGTCGAGTAGCAGTCCTACCTTGTAACTGTTGCCGCACTGCTTGTCTGCCCGAAAGCTCACTACCGGCAGAGGATACTCTTTAGTCAAGTTTTTCCTCGCTTTACATTCAAGTATGGTAAATCTGGGTAAAGTTTGTTAGCATATCATACGATGCTAAGTGGTATGATATCACGTCTACAATACCTCAAGACTTTTGATGGCAAGAAGGAGTAGGATACTTGGGTAGCTGATACGTGTCATATTTAGATTTCACTCGATCGTCTATATCGTGAAAGTAGTCAATGTTTCCTTTACAGCCTTTGAAAATATACAGGTATCCTGAACTCCATATTCATGATACCCACCTTTCGCCAAAACGCCATACTTGTTATTCAAACCCTTTGCTTTTTCCAACAAGTCTTCGGTAACTCTTACACCAATGAAATATACCATTGCTTCTGAAGTCTTACATGTCAACCTCTCCGCAATTGCCTCAATTGCCGTCCAAGTTCCCGGATTTGGCGGTCGTATTCATCTATTGTTGCTTTGTCCGCTGAAATATTGGGGTCCAGCCATCCTTTCTTCATACGTATTTGCGTAATATTTGACTGAATTTTCTCGCTTTGCGTCTCACTCAAAGAAGGAAAAGAGTCTAGTGACTTTTCTCTTCGAAGTTTAGGCGGGGAGCGTGGAGGCGGTGGGCTATCATTTGATGGCTGGCGATTTCCTCGGTTCCGATGGAGGGCTAGATCTATCGCGCTCGTAACACCTTCCGGAAGCTCGCCATCTGAAGACCACTGGGATCTCTCTGAGCTTTTTCTTGAATCTTGAGAGTCCGAACGCTTTGTTGAAGAGGGGCCTGCCTTGGCTCTTGCACGATCTTTTTCTTTGGGAGGCTTGGTACGTTCTTTCTTCTTGCCATGGTCATTGCTATTGCTATTGCCAGATGAAACGCTGCTGGATTCCCCATGTTTACGTTTTCCTCCTTCGTTGCCGATGGGGTTTCTACGAGAGGAAGATCTGGAAGACATTTCAAAGTTTTTAAGTTGATGGGAGTTGAAACAAAAAATGAGGTGCTTGAGATGATTGTTTAGACTCCGTGTCGTTGTACAGATGTGCAATTTGAATTCCACTTTGTGTATCGCGCTGCTTCTATATACAAGTAAAACTACGAAGTTACAAGAGCCGGTATTAATCCATCAAATTGCCACGTTCTAGGCAGAGTGCTTTTCGCAACGATCTCTTCATACGATCTGGATTGACTACTCTTATGTCCTCCTTACACCAAATCAAGACAGGCCATTAATCGCAAATTGGGCCTGTATCCGTCATGCTCACCAGTACACGTCCCTATCTTCGAAGAAAAGTAAAATCAGAAAACAATATTATTGACAGAACCTTGCAGGCCTCGAGTTGTCCGTCGGTAGACCTGGCCAGCTCATATCGACCGCAAAATTTGTCACACGACCCTAGGGGACAAACGTGGTTTGAATCGGCATTTTGAAAGCTAAAAAGGTCAGAAACTCGGTCAAAGTACTCAGAATACCACAATTACAAGACAATCAATTCCAGAGTGCCAGGCAACTCATAACGGCAATGATCTTTGGCTTTTGCGTCATCTTTGGCACAGTATGTCAAATTCGTCAATAATATATAAGCGCCTTGAATACAATACAATACTACGTTTCTCCCGCGACAAAAAGTCATCTCTCCACCCTAGCTTCGTCTGAAGCCTCTATTTCCAAATTGTTACTTTAAACTAGCTTTTATTTAAACCTCAATTCGTTTCTCTTGGTGTAGCCTAACTCTCAATTTCCTCTTTTGCATACCAACACTCGAATCGTTACCCAGACCAACCGCGCGAGTGGCCTTCCGTTCACTCTACTACGTGCTCGTACGGCTCAACGATTGACCCTTTTCGTACCCACCACCGACAAGCTTTCGGCTCTAATAGTCGGCTCTCTGAGTGGCCGACTAATTCCTAGTTGAGGAAAACAGCTGTCCCCGAAAGCAATTATCCCCATAAGAATGTTGATAGGTTTCCTCACTAACACTGGTAAATTCATGCATTTTCTATTTGAAACCCCTTTTAAGAAGAGGTACGTTCGGGGACAATCGCTTTCGCCGACTAGGAACTAACTGGCTGTTCAGAGAGTCCAATTTAAGTAGTATATGTATATGCAAAGATATCAGACGTCATGTGATTCGTGCATATATCTCACCCGAGAGTTAGAGACACTTCTGCCTGGGCAAGGGGTAAGCTGTTAGAACAATTCATCAACATGGTTTTCCAGATACTTAAGGTTTACTACATATGGGTAGTGGCTAAGATGAATCCAAATTCACTCGCTCTCAAAAGTAATTGTAATATTCCCCAGTATCAAGATTGCACACAGAGAAAGCTTTGATGTAATTAGGTTCATTACTTGTCATCAAGAGAAGGAATCATGTCTCTGAAATCTAGAAAAATCTCAAAATGACATGAATGATATATACTGTAGTATATACCAACGAATTTCATTACAAAGCCATCACAGCACCCACAAGACCGACAGCCAAACCTCCACAAATGCTCAACATATCAACACCCAATGCACCAGCAGCACCCGTCTCGACAGTGACCGGAGCATTCGAGCTTGCACTCGCCGATTCTGTCGTCGCCGAAGCCGACCCAGTCGTCGAAGTCTTCTGAGTTCCACTTGCCGTCTGCGACGCGCCGGTAGCCGATGCAGATGCAGCTTCAGTAGCAGTTGCGCTTGCTATCAAATCGCCAAACCCATTTTTGCTGGCGATGCTCAGTTCGGCCGTGTAGATGGAACCGATGAAGCTGGCGAGAGGAGAAGGCAAAGCAGTCAGCACGGATGTATTTGGAGTTTCGCCATCCCTGACGTCGGATAGGAGGGACTCTTGTAAGGCTTCAAGAGAGCTGAGAGCAGCGGTGTCGGTGGCAAGGCTGGAAACTATGGGTTGAGTTGCAAGGTCGACGATGTATGATTGGAGGTCATCAACTAGAGCTTGGGTTTGACTTGGGGGAGAGAGCGTTAGTAAAGGTACGGTTGACATACACAAAAAGGGAATATCACTGGATTTGAAAGGGAATGAAATCCCAAGTTTTGAGAGATGTAGGTAGAGAGGCAAGACAAACATACGATGCAGATGGGGTCGTTGGCTCTGGAGCTGGAGCTGGAGACGCTGAGGCAAAGGCAATGAGCCCAGCGACGAGAAGTGAGTCTGAGAAGTGCATTCTGCAGTTATTGAAAACAGTTACGTTGATTGGTTCACGCAATGAAATGAAAGCTTTATTTTGACCGTTTTTCACGTGAAATAGAATAATGGAAAGACTGTTGAATGTGGCACAAAAAAGCTGAGGAAGAGCAGGCGGAGAAATGGATTAAAGTAATGCTATTTAGCCCCCACAAAAGATGATCTGGATGCCTAGCATCCCGTGATTCCGTTTTAAACGGTTGAAAATTAGAATTCATGTTCCGGGGAAAGATCAATTGGTTACCTTGTACGATTAACCCCTGAGGCTCGGCGAATGTGACATTCTAGGAGAAGTAATTTGATGCTGCTCTTTCTTGGAAGTATTGCATATTTCGCACGTGTAGTAAGCTACCTAGGCTCACAAGGATATCTGATTCGATGGAAAGTAATGGTGGGATGATGCTGAGACCCACAATATATCAGCCGCAATTCCGCTTTCAATGTGCTGTGCGCGCATTAAGCATCCTGCTGTGCTCTCCAAGCTTCAAAACGCAGGCCACTTGGAGAGCCAAGGATTTTTCGATACTCCGAGAGGTTATGTTTCGATGTCGGCCGTTGACTGCCCAAGGAGCTTCAATGACGTAGTAATATGGCTTTCAGATTTTTCGAGACCCCTTACTGTAGTCGGTCAAAATATCCAGCTGAGTTCACACTCTTTTACCAGCCCTAATAAGATCTGACACTTTTGGTGGTAATATTAATGCACTTCGGTCGTTTCTTGAATAGAAATCTACTAACACCATTGCTGTCTTCTCAGGAAGGTCTTCGTGAACAAAATGACCGGCCTCGGGGAAAACTTGCAGCGCATACTTCCCTATTGATTGTCAATCTAAGCCTGCTCTTTCCAGACTTCATATAGAAAGATGGTTCTTACCTTGCATTTGTCCGATTGTCAACTCCTTATCAAGTCTATCTGTACCTGCAAGCAGTAATAGCTTTCCACCTCTGGCCTCAAGAAACTTCTTGCTAAGTCCAACAAACCAACCTTCCCAAAATGGTTGAGTAGCTCCCAAATTTGTGCGCCATGTCCACGATCTTGATCCACTGGCTTCTTCGTTGTGCTTCAGTAGCCCAGGCACACTCGTCCGCGCTGACAACGAATTGCGTATTGTTCTCGACCTCATGTGCCACTCAATGCCAGATTGCAGTGAAGGGAAGCCTAGTGGACGAGTCGATAAGTAAGTTTGCATGCTTTGTAGAGCATCCATAGCAGAGCCCTCAACTACATCAAGAACTGCGTATCCAAGAACTGAGTTGCCAAGTTTCCCGCCCTCTGCAACATCTGTAATCACTGCACCGCCAAGAGAATGACCAACAAGTACAAGAGGCGGAAGTTGCTTCCATTTCATTTTGTCTTTTGTGGCTTCAATGACATATAACAAATCCGAACTCAAGGTCTCTAGACTGAGATCGAGAAGTTCTGTCTCTGGAGAGATATCCGTAGAACCATGACCTCGAGCATCAAGAGAAAGTACACCAGCAGAAGGTAACTTTTTTCGAATCTCCGACGTCAAAACAGCAAACGAGAGGCCGGATGATCCTGCTCCATGATGTGTGATAAATAAAGGTGCTGACCCAACAGGAGATGTGAGATATGCATGATGCATTATCGTCTCTGCTTCCAACTTGTGCTCGAGAAACAGTTCTCGTTCAAAATAAGTCGTCCACGGTATCTGGTCCATCGTTCGTTTATTGGGAACACTGATGGTATAGAATGTATCAGCCCGGCACAAACAATGAGCAATAAGCAAGTACAAACCCTTGCGGCCGAGCAAACAAGTTCTGATTCGAGGATGGTATGATGGTGCCAGTAGATGAAGCTGAAGATGCCGAGGAAGAATCGTCATCTATTGGAAGATCGGGTAGTTCACTAGGCATATCAATCTCTTCTTCTTCTTCTTCGTCGGCCTCATTGAATTCTGGCGGAGCAAATTTTGGTAGCTTAGGCTTAACAAAGGACCTTTGTAAATCGCTCATCTTGAAGTTTATTTGCAGAAGTCAACTCTGCGAAAAATTACTTGCATCGGGTGGTGAAAATCATTTGTGAGGGAAGAAATTCAAGTCTAAGCTATCAACTGAAAATCCAATTAAAGAAATCTCAAATTTGTGTAGGAAGTTCCAGAGGGGGTGAGAAAAGAAAAGATGGATAGCTAAAAGCCATGATGTCGTCAGCCACAGAAAACACCCACCAGCCATTCGATGTGTAGGTAGATAAGATAAGAGCATCCAATTGCTTAGTAATATCAAGACGGCGAGGATGCGCTCGAGTATGTCATCCATCGTCTGAACTGAACGCATTCCTGAAGATGGACAGGAAGGCAATTGGTTGAGGTTAGTAGCACCAAAAAGCATGATTTATTATGTACCTGGTATATATTGTGTGACACAGTATGTATACCGCGCAACCTTATTTTAGGTATGTAGGTTGTAACCGTGACCATCTATCATACAATACAATGTCTCGATATACCGACCTACCACGTGCCCACCCACCTAGGTTAGCTGGAGGTACTTGTTATTATTGATACCTGGTGTACTAGGCACTGAGCTATGGCACAAAGAAAAATGACATCATCCCCTTCAATTCCCTCGGTCCTCCCTCTCCATAACAACCTGATTCATTGACCTCCGCCTCCTTCATATGTGCTGCGTATCTATCCATCAATGATCATTGATCAAGCCTCAAAATCTAAAACCAATACTACGCACGGGAAGAGGAACAAGAACAAGGTCAAGGTTAAGAAGCAGCAGCAGCATCAGCAGCAGCAGCAGCAGCAGAAGAATGCTGGTGGTAGGTAAACAATCACAATCCACATACACATACAAATACCGGTATCTACCACACACAAAAGCTACCTAGCTTCATCAACGCGCACGACGCCAGTTCCATTGGGCTTAGATCAACAACAAAACGATCTTCTTTCCTTGCTTGATCTTGATCTTGAGCTTTAGTTCATTTCTGACATTGTCTTAACTCTTAACATTCTCGGTGCCCAGGTTATCTGCCTCTCTAGTATCTCATGGTAACGATTGATCTCCTTTTTAAATCTATTTTCATTTCATCTTTCTCCTCAGGAGATTTTGATCTCTTATTATTTCATATCAGTCCTTTCATCTCTTCACTCACGATATAGCTTATCGTGGTTGTTGTCGCAGAAGTCTCTCCACAATCAGGAGTTCCTCGACATAGTTATCATGGCTTCCTCCTTATGGGGTTCCAAGAAGGATAGCGAACATCTTTCAGCTTCTGGAAGTGTGCATTCTCGTCCTCATTCTCAAAATGGAGATTCAAATGAACCTGTAGCTTCTCACCAAGTACATCCTCAACCTCATTATTCTCATGAAGCTGACGAGCGTACTCGTCTACTTCCACCAAGCCGTGATGGTTACTTGAGTCCCGATGATCCAGCTGTAAGCTTCTCGCCCCCTTCTGTTTAATCCGCCACCAAGGTTGCAATCTCCCGATGAGATGTTTATTGTAATCTTATGCTAATAGGTTATTTATATAGGTATCTCCATATAATCTATGGAGCGTACGATTTTTGCGATACTTCACAGTTTTGTTCGCCATCATCACATTTCTGTGGTGGGTGTTGCTGCTGGTATCAATCTTCGTTTCTCCTCCAGGCATGCACTCGAGAGGCTCTGGTTTCTTCGACTTCTCATATACTACTTTGACCCTCGGTCTGCTACTCATTGTGCTTCTCTTCTTTTCGACGCCTTCCAAAGCGGCACAAGTAACATGTCTTGTCATCGCCGTGATTCTATTGGTCGACATGATAATGATTGTCGCTGTCCCACGTCTTCGTGTAGAGGAGGGATGGGTTGGAATTGCTAGTGTTGTCTGGGCCCTGCTCATAGCTATATGGACGATTGTTACAGATCGAGTCGTAGCGGCTGGCAAAATAGAAGAGGAGGAGCGCTTAACTGGCCGAGCAGAGACTCGCCGAACACTCAGAGAATGGTGTTCCGTCTTGATATCTACAATCATTCTTGTAGTTTTGGCAATTGTCACCATTCTCTTGTCGGCTACACTTATCTTGAGATCTCGCGATGCCTCCCTTGCGCCACCAGGAGAGCGATATTACGTCGATGGTGACAAATACCAAATACATGTCTATTGCGAAGGTAATCTTACGGATTCAAAGGGCAAGAAGAACCCAACAGTTTTATTTGAAGCTGGCGAAGGACCGTTCGAGCATGGCATGCTTCAGATTGCAACGAATGCTTTTGTCAATGGAAGCATCAGCCGATATTGTTATTCTGATAGACCTGGAATCGCATGGTCTGACAATGCGCCATCTCCGTTCTCAGCAGGCATGGCAGCGGACGCACTTTCAGAAGCTCTAGCTCGCGCAGGCGAAGAAGGCCCCTGGATTCTTGCTAGTGCAGGAGTAGGCAGCATCTATAGTCGTATATTCTCCTCCCGACACGCTCGTGAAATTGCAGGTCTTCTTCTCATCGACCCTCTCCACGAAGATCTTCTCTACCGTCTCGGCACACCACAGAGAGGCTTTGTTCTCTGGGGTCGTGGCATTCTCTCACCTCTCGGTCTGGATCGTACACTTGGCGCCATTTTCAATGGCCGCACCCGTGAAGATCGAGTATTCGGACGTTCAGCTTATCAAGGTGGAAAGTTTCTCAAGGCTAAACTTCAAGAATCTCTGGTCGCAAATTCATTGACGAAGAATGAGGTTAGTAGTGCAAGGAATATACAGTATCCAAGTACACCACTTGTACTGATTAGTTCCGGCATTGAGGTCAGGAGAAGTAATGAGTGGGAGAGGAAGCAAGAAGATCTTAGTCACTTGACGGACAACCTGAAAAGCTGGGATGTGGTCAAAGGAGCTCCTTCGGAGGTATGGAAGACGCTCGATGGAAGGGAGATCATCGAGAAGAGGTTGAAGAAGTTGGTCAAAGGAGCTGCGGACTTTGAATTGATGGAGTAGTTAAATTGATAATGGGCGAGGGTGCGCGTGAGCAACGAGGATGAAGATATAAGCACATGAGCACATGATGGGCATGAACATAAACGTCTCTTTTGTGGTTCTCGATTATTGGTTGGTACATTTGCATTTCTGCTTTGGTGCTGGATGGTCGGGTTGGATGGACTTCATCTTCTTTTACGATTAGTTCACTTGTTTAACTATGTAATTAATGCATACCATTCTTTTGAAGCTTTACTTAGATATGACTTCTGTGAAATGATAAGCCATTTGAACAGATTAGTAGGATGTCCAAGCAACATCCTAAATTGTAATCTTGATCCGCTAGGAACCATCCACTTTGATTCACCTCATATGGTCCGTCCAGTCACACCTACATAGTACCGAGATGTACCATCCCTATTCACTTCTAGTATTTACATTTAAACAAGCAACACTAATAAGGTCCCCTCAAAACTCATGTATTTCCATCAAGAGACCTTTCTTAAAAGACAGTCCGTTCCAAATTTCAACTTGAAGTAAGAATGCAAAAGTTTCTCAAGTCAACAGATATGCAACAAAAGTCAGAGATACTATGAGCAGCCAGAACCTCCCTTGCTTGATAACATCAACGGTAACCATCACAGGCTTGTGTTAATCTTCATCTATTCATATTAATCTATACTATGAAGAGGTAGGTCATGATACATACTATAGCTACATACGCTTTTCCTAACATCGTTTCCGTGTCTGCTTTTCATGGTAACCTGAACGCCAATACCTTTGCTATACATATACCACACCAAATTATCTTTCGGAACTATGATATCATGTCAAACACCGATCAAGAACTGCCTAGAATGTTGGATATCCTTAAAGACAGGTCGAGAATGGTGAGATGTTCGTCTGCACCATCCACGAGTCGTTTGTCTGCTTCTGAAAAGAGAGCTACGATTTTGTTCTTGTGGGAGTCGGCGATCAATTCGGAGTTGATGATGGTTTGGTACAGCTGTTGCGTGTGTTAGCTTTTATCACGTTTTGCGAGGGAAGGAAAAAAACCATACCTGCGAGACGACTTGTGTGCCACTCCACCCATCTGCCACCATATCAACGACTACTTTGGATACAGCTTCATATACAACTCCTCTCGATCTCGGTTGCATGGCCTTGACCAATTTCTCAATCGTGTTATCTGGTATAACTCCTGCAATATCTTCCACGCTGCTCACTGTAACCATCTTCTCATCCACATCCATTTTATCTGCATTGTGCCTCTCTTCGCCTTCCGGACTAACCGCTCCCACCAACCTCGCCGCACTCTGCAAATATGTAATCGCTTTTCTCAAATCTCCCTCGCTGCACTTAATCAGCGCTTCCACCGCTCCCTCCTCCAACCTAACACCCTCCTTATCCGCGATTTCCCTCACTCTAACCACCGCATTCCCCTTGTCCAAGCTCTTGAACCGAAACTTGCTACACCTACTCGCCAAGGGATCAATAATCCTCGTCACATAGTTGCAAATCAAACAAAATCTCGTAATCCTACTGTACGTCTCCATCGTTCTTCTCAACGCACTCTGCGCATCCTGCGTCATACTGTCCGCCTCATCCAATATAATAATCTTGTAAGGTGGACACGGATACTTCTGACGATATGCGGGCGAGGGATTGGAAAGCTGCATGCGAGCGAAATCTTTCACTTTTTCACGGACAATAGATATACCTCGTTCGTCGGAAGCGTTCAGTTCGAGGACGCGGGATTTCATGAGTTCGGGACCGTAGAGTTCTTTGGCGAGAGCGAGAACCGTAGATGTTTTACCTGTACCTGGAGGGCCATAGAAGAGCATATGCGGGAGCTGGGAGAGGAAATGTTAGAGCTGGTTGGAGGAGGGGGAAAGGAAGGTGCTAACATTGGAGGATTGCAGTGTGCGTTGCAGAACAGTGATGGTATGATCTTGCGCCGTAACATCTCCTAGGCCTTTGGGCCGACTACAAAATCCATTAGTAAAGTTATTGAAGATAGAGATCGCACTCGAAACAAGAGACTAACTATTTCTCGACCCATGGTTGCATGCGATTATTTTTCTTAGCTTCTTCTTTTGCATTTGTGGTGCCGTTTGAGGCAGCTTCCGCCTTACGAGCTTTGATATCAAAGAAGCTAGCCATGTTGAAGAAAATCGTGAGGTTTTCTAAGATTTACAAGTCGTAAGAAAGTTTGGATTTCAGATAATGGAAAGTGTATTCAAGGGAGACGCGTCGTGAAATTCCACTCTACGCGACATTTTTAGCGCGAGGCTACAACATCAAGAGATAATAGGCTGTCTCATCACACGCATTATAATATATACACAATAATCCTATAGTCTGTCATTTTGATTCGAAAACCATTGGTATGAAAGGGAGTGTTCATTCGAATCATATTGTATGGTACTGTGAAATCTAATACCAGATTTAGCTCCAACAATGGCTATCTAGTACCTGCACCTAACAGAAATATTTTGCTTTAGCAAATCTAGCCAGAAGAATAGTTCTGCCAGCTGAACCTGCGAGCGGATTCTGCTCGGTGTTATATAGACCTCAATTGAGCCCACAATCTACACACTCACAATCTTAACAAACCATCTTTATTGACTTAAAATAATATTGCTTAATCAAGTCTGAAAGTCTCAACGTGGCCATTGATGTTTGAATCCTGAAAATCACAACCTATGAGATCAATCTCCTATGATTGTGATCAATCCGAAGTCAAATCGTCTGTCCTTATAACTCCAAGATTGCCATCCAGAGTAGACCAAAGTCCGCCGATATTCGAGATTCCCAACTTTTGTCTGCCTGCATCTCCTTCTGCGCCTTGTTCCTCGGGGAGACACCCCAAAAGACGCTGAAGATCGTTGAGAGTCTGATAAGCTCCTGCAAGAGCAGATTCCCCATCTTCCAATCTTTCCAAAACTGCTTCCTTGGTCGCAATGCTACTCGATTCAGCTGCAAAGACCCAAGCTTTGGCTCGGCTGGATAAAGTTGGCTTATCACTATTCGAAATTTCCTGTTCGAAGGAAATCGGCTCCCCCAGTCTTTTCCGTTGAGGATTGTTGACAGTCTGCATGGGATAGGTAGGTAAGAGATGACTTTCGTCGACTAGCCTGTCTAGATCTTTACTGGCTTCTTTGCCCTGCTTTGCGAGACTGCTAGTGAGATAAGATCTTTGTTGTATAGTAGATTTCTGCTCATTTGAAATGAGAACCAGATCTTCTAGGTAAGAAAATGTCGACGCGTTTCTGGTACTAGAGGTATCATTCGTAGGCTCATCTAGGAGCATGTCAGAGGAATCATCTGTTCCGACTTCTTCGGGGAGTGATGTAGTAAGATTTTCAGTAGCAGCGACAATTAACCTTTTCCTAATTTCAAGGTATTGTCCATAAAGTTTCTTTATGGATGCAAGCTGAGATCCGATGTATTCCTTCCCGATATTCTCAGGCACGCTAGGATTTTGTCCCTCTGATGCTGCTGGCGAGTCTCCAGCCTTTCCTAATTCCGTCTCAATCCAGTTTATCAATTCATTACGAGTTGTTTCCAGTGCTTTCTGTCGATTACCCTGTTCTTGCTGATCTTTTGGTGTGCTAGCATCAGTTCTGACTTTTGCCAATAATTTTTGTTCTTTTTTGAGAAGAAGTTGTGCACGTAAAACTGACTTCTCTAATCGATCGACGAGCGATTTCAAATCAGTCCTCTCAGAATCTTGAAGATGTTCTATCGGTGCCATAACGCTGGGTGGTACTGGCGGTAAGGAACCAATATTTTTCAGCACGTCCACGCTCTTCAAGTCGAGATAATCTTGTGTCGCTGCAGGCTTCTGTGCAAGTTGATCCACGACATCTTGAATGATGCGAAAACGTTCCTTCTTCTGACGTCGCTTTTCTAAATCTAAGAAAGCATGTACAGATATCTCCTTGGATGTAACTTTATCGTGAGTCTTTGCTTGAATCTCGCTGTGAGATTCTGGCTCATCACGCTGTGAACTGATCGCTGCAAAGTCTCTTTGAGCCTTCAAATTAGCTTGAAGGCTGCGTAGATAATCATGCTGGACGCCCGGAAAGCCCAATCCTTGTTTCACTTCAGAGGTAGGTTCTGCAAGAGACAAAGTTGCAGGCGTCAAGAATGTATCTCCAGAGTTCACGTTAGAATTCAAGTGAGCAGCGAGGACATGCCGAACATGTAGAGCATCCTGTCTTTGCTTTATATAAGGGCTCAAGGTATGATGTATTTGTCTGATACCCTCGGGAAGCGTTGCCAAATCATCCATTTTGGTCAAAACATAAATCTTGATATAAATTTCGGATACCTGACTCCTGATGTCCTGGTGTGCTGGTGTGAAAATGTATAGGCTGTGTTGCTCCAGGCAAAGTTGTATTTACTTTACTTTATGATTGAATGGTCTTGTTGACGTGTAGCGGCATATGGCCCCGCTTGGTTCGTGGCATATAAAATCGAACCAACAACAATTTAATATATAGTCGTCTCAACTGTTAACTTGTCAACAGGATATCTCACATATCATTTCATTTCATTTTGTAAGTTTTCAAGATATTACCGAATTTTATTTTATGAATCCATTGAAATTTTTATTTACAACTAGGACCTATATTTTGGAAAGTGTGCTAATCTTCTTCCCTAAAAAATACCTACCTAGGTAGGCACGAGGCGGCAGACACACTAGCGCCTATCAAAAGTAAATTTAGTGGCCTCGCGTTAAACCTTAATTTTGCGAATTTTGGGAACTGGAAGACCTCTTCTAGTAAACTGATATCAAAATACCCTCCATTGTGGCGTCTGTTAAATTTCTTTGCATACCTTCTTTGATTCATCAGTATATTGGAGATAACTTTCATAATCCATGTTTTAAAGGGAATACTTCAGATGACTTGAAACCTTTCTTCCAGCCATCTTCTTTCGATTTCTTCTCAATATCCGCCATATAGGCTTCAGCCTTTCTCACACCGTAAAATTGACGACTCATAAACAATGACGGACCAACAGCGCGATGTGTCGCAGTACAAGTATGCGGCGATGTCCAATCTGGTTCTCCAGGCGGACCGTCGATTCGTTACTCGCCGTAATGATGAGGTGACAGGAGATCCAGAATCACTGGCGGGGCAAATCAGTATTCGGGATATGGGTTCGAGAAATGCCCGCGAGGACGCGCCGAAACAGAAACAGAAAGCTTCGGGCCTTCCAGATGTTGAGAGAGGAGGTTACCGCGAGGGCGAAGATGTCTTAGAACGAGAACAGCGCAAACGCAAGCGTGGAGAGCCAGCACAATTTCGAGGAACTGGAATCCTATCAGCTGCAGATGCCTTGGTCGAGGGTATTCGATATAGACCTAGGACTTCGGCAACGCGAGCAACTTACGACCTCATCTTAACTACAGTCGCTAATAATCTTGGAGATGTTCCTCACGAAGTTGTTCGAAGCGCCACCGACGCCGTGCTGGAATACTTGAAGGATGATGATATGAAAGATTTTGACAAGAAGAAGGAGATCGATGACCTGCTAGGCGCAAGCATGAATCCAAAACAGTTCAACGAGCTTGTAAACTTGGGAAAAAAGATTACGGATTATGACGCGCAGGATGAAGACGAAGAGATGGCAGATGGAGATAACGGCGGCGAAAACGGCGCTGAAATAGACGATCGCCAAGGAGTAGCTGTTGTATTCGACGATAATTCCGACGAGGAGGGTGATGAGGTGCTTAATGAAATTCGAGAAGAGTCGTCTGAAGATGAGGATGACGCTCAAGACCGCCCTGGTGACGAGGAAGTCGCTAAGGCTGGTGGCGCTGGAGTGGATAGAGATGAAGAATCCCAGGAACTGCCCGAAGAGGAAGCAATAATTATGGACTCTGGTTCAACACAGAACGCTGACTCATCTAAAGACAAAAAAGACTTCATACCCGCACGCGAAATTGATGCATATTGGCTGCAACGACAAATTGGCTCAGTTTACACAGATGCGCATGTACAACAGCTCAAAACACAAGAAGTACTCCACACACTTTCTGGAGCTCCCGCGGAAGAAGGCGGGGATGAGAAACCTCTCAGGGAAATCGAAAACGATCTTGCTGAATTGTTTGATTATGAGCATCATGAGCTCGTACACAAATTGATCGCCAATCGGGATAAGGTAGTCTGGCTCACTCGTTTAGCTAGGGCTGAGGATGCTGAAGCTCGAGGTGTTGTAGAGCGTGAAATTGCATCCGAGGGACTACGATGGATCTTGGATGAGCTTCGCGGAGGTGCGCGAGCAGACGGATCGAAGAAACGGAAACTAGAAATGAAAATGGATATTGACGTTCCAGCTGAATACATTAATGGCGGCACCAAGAACGAGCAAAAAGACAGAGATAGTTTAGTTGGTGGGCTGCAACCGCGGAAGCTCATTAATCTTGAGAATCTTGTCTTTGATCAAGGCAATCATTTGATGACAAACCCCAAGGTCAAGTTGCCAGAGGGATCTACAAAGCGTACTTTCAAAGGGTATGAAGAGATTCATGTACCGCCTCCCAAGAAGCGCAATGATCCTTCTGATCGTGATATCCCAGTTACGGAGATGCCTGAATGGGCGCGAGTTCCATTCTCGTCCACAGTCAAGCTCAACAAGATCCAATCTCAGTGCTTTCCCACAGCCTTCGAAGACGATGGCAATATGCTTATCTGCGCGCCCACTGGAAGTGGCAAGACCAATGTTGGTATGTTGACTATATTACGAGAAATCGGCAAAAAATCGCAATCCAGAGACCGGAGAAATCAACCTCGACGCATTCAAAATTGTTTACATTGCGCCGCTGAAAGCTTTGGTTCAAGAACAAGTAGGAAATTTTGGTGCCAGACTAAAGCCATATGGCATCCAAGTTTCTGAATTGACTGGAGATCGTCAGCTCACGAAACAACAAATTGCCGATACCCAAATCATTGTGACAACACCTGAAAAATGGGATGTCATCACTCGAAAGGCTACTGATTTGAGTTACACCAATCTGGTGCGTCTCATTATTATCGATGAAATCCATCTTCTACATGATGACCGTGGACCTGTTTTGGAAAGTATTGTGAGCCGGACGATTAGAAAGATGGAGCAGACTGGTGATCCTGTTCGTCTGATAGGTCTCTCCG